CTGTATCTCCGCCACTGGTTCACGTTAATTTGACGGTTTTGAAGGTACAAAAAAATCTTTATTTTAAAACTTCAACACCCCGTATTTTTATGAAGCCCTCGAGGAAAAAATGATACATAGAAGACCCCTTTAATTTGCGGTCCTTTGTATGATGTTTTATTTTTGGTCACGACTTGTGAATCACCCTCTATACAATATGTACATGAACAACCGAGCAAGTAAGACCTACTGTTGGATCCAATTTTTGCTCTGCGGCTCCTTGTTCAGCATCATTCGTCTCACTAGCGGCTCAATATCAACCCCTGTGCCCTCGCTTACATGCGAGGCAAAATTGTCAACAGTGAGTATCTCGCCGAGCGTCAACTCCAGCTGTCTCTCGTAGACAACCTGTCTACTACAAACGAGTAGATGATTGGGTTATCTCCTGTACGTTGCAATATATGCAGTTCACTACTCTCTTTTTCCTACCCTCTTTAGGTTGCTGTCAAAAGAGCCTTGTCCTATGAAAAGTTTTATTATTTGGGATCAACCTTCTAATCCATGCTCCATGGCCAGTTGCATCCCATCTCTCCTGCCATCTGACAAAAAGCACCTTTCTTTCTTCGCTTCTTGCTTCGGTGCGCTTCCTTTAGCTCGCGCACCTCTCCTCAGACAGCAAGCCAATTGGCGGGATACCTGCCACCACAGCAGTGCATCGGTCGAGACCTTTCTGTAAGTGCATGCCACGCGCAGAACTACTAGCTTGATCTCCCACGGTCAGATGCGCGGTAGACACGGCGGAATGTAGTGGGGTCACCCCAGTACAAACCAGCAGCGATCGAGGTAGTATCGTGGGTACAGCTCCAGTAAAAATGTTAATTGCGTTAGCTATAGGTTGTTTTAATTTATTCCCGAAGGTTCTGAAAAATGGAGGTAAAGTTGCAAATAAAGTTTTAAGTGGTCAAAGCCGAGAAATTGTTGCCTCGGTATTGAGATTCATGCAGAATGAGGCTGAAAATGGAGTGGCTGTTCCTTCACACAGAGTAAATATAAGTACGATTATAATAAATTACGATTACTATTGCGATTATTATTATTATGCAGATTGAAAATTAAGCAACAATGAATAAAAATTACTTGATGCCTATGTTTGTTCAAGAAATTTTGCATATAGTTTTAACCATTAGTGAAAGTACAATATAGCACTTTCTCACAGAAGATTTCAAATTATCTTTAGCCTTCATGATGAGTATAATATATATACTTGTAATATCACGTATTCTTGTTAGGGGTGATAGAGGTCAAAAGCAACCGATTTTGTCCTATAATGTCCTATCCAGAAGTTAACCGTTTTTGAGTTATTTGAATTTTATTTTTTTATTTTTATTCCGATTTCAGACGGTTAAATTTGAAATACAAAAGAACTGCATGTTGATTTAAGATTTTGTCACGGTCGCATGGCGGACATCCCAATAGTTCATAATAAGTAACAAGCTTTCATTTGCGGTATAAAAGTTACAACTAACTCAAGTACAAAGACATAAAATTAAAAAAAGATGAGTAAAGGTACGAACGATAATTACGTAGGATAAATAAAAGGCTTTTATTTTAATTAAGTTTTATTTAATTACATTTCCTTAGTATTTTACAGATTCTGCTCAAATGTAATCCCCTGTTACGAATACACGCCCGCATTCTCTTACGTAATTCACTTTTGGTAACTCTAGTTGTTAAGCGGCTGTTTATTTGGTCAGCTACACTGATTATCCTTGTAATTAATTCATCGCGCGTTGGTACGGGCGAAACATCGTACACCAGGCTTTTCATATGTCCCCACACATAGTAATCCGTCGGTGTGAGATCTGGGCTTCTTGCTGGCCAGGCAATGGGCCCGCCTCTGCCAATCCATTGATTTGGAAATTTAGAGTCTAAATACGCCCGTACTAATCTACTGTAGTGTGCGGGACAGCCGTCATGCTGGAAACGCATATTTTGTCTCGTCGCCAATGGGACGTCTTCCATTAATGGAAACAAGTGATTTTTTCAAGAACTCTTAATACACTTCTCCATTTAAATTGGCGGGCAGAAAATGAGGTCCAATTAAATATCCATCAATGATTCCCATCCACACATTGACTGAAAACCGGCTCTGAGACCCGTCGGTCTTATTTTTCGGAGGTTTAAAGCTTCTTTATCAGCCCAGTAATGAGCATTATGGTAGTTAGTGATCCCGTCCTTATCAAACTTCGATTCATCGGTCCACAGAATTTTCTTGAAATAGTCCGGATCTTCTCTATCTGCATGTAACATGTACCTGCAGAAATCTAATCGTCTTGGAGGCGTGTAGTGATAAGGGTATAATCTTGCAGTATGCACAGTAACCATACTTTGTATTGTGATATACCCAACTGCGCAGCCACAATGCGCGTAGACTTAGTATGGTCTTCCTGAAACACACGAAGGATTTCCTCTTCATCTTCAGGAGGATAGACTTGGGGTCGACCAGCATCACTATGCTGCCTTTGAACACGTCCGGTTTGGCGGATGCGCCGATACACAGAGTCAAACACAGTAATATGAGGTGTTCGGCGATTGGGGAAACGTTGCCGATATCACGGCGGGCAACTGCAGAATCGCCGTTACAAAGTCCATAACAGAACATTATGTCTGCGTATTCTTCACTTGTAAAAGTTTGCCCGTGCTCGCTATGGCGAGGTCCTGGCGGATCTTCTGCGTCTGCCATCATGATAAAGAAACCACTCGAAATGAACTGAGAAACTCGAAATAAAAATCGTGCGTAAAACGTGTGCGCGTACGCAGTAGTTGATACCAACTAAACCTAATTCTCCCTCGGCGTGCGGCGATGACGTAACTACAATGATGAATAATAATAGCTCTATCTCTCTCACTCCTCCACTAAGTCAGCTCTTCTCGCTCGCTTCCTCATCGAGCCGATGTCATAAAACCATCATGGCATGCGAGTCCTTTGAGGACAGTAACGACTTGTTCAAATAGGTAATACAAATTCCTTAAAAAATCCAGCCTCTGTGGGTGTCATTGTTGTTTCTCTGTATGTACTTCAGATAATTGAACGCTTAATACCTCAAATGAAAGCTTGTTAGATAGAGATATTATTTACATAATTTGCAAATTTCATTACTAGGAGATTTTTTACAGAAAATTGCATTTTTTATCGAATAAGTTAGTAAAAAAAGAAAATGATACATTTAAAAAGCGTAATTTTAAACGTTTGTAGCTTTTCAACATTTTGTTACTTATTATGAACTATTGGAATGTCTGCTATGCGACTATAACAAAAACTCAAAATCAAGCATGCAGTTTTTTTGTATTTCAATTTTAACAGTCTGAAATCGGAATAAAAAATAAAAAACTTAAAATTCAAATAACTCAAAAATGGTTAACTTTTGGATAGGACATGATAGGACAAGATCGGTTGCTTTTGACCTAATCTATCACCCCTTAACAGGAATACGTGACATTACAAGTCACCCTGTATATATATATGTATGTATAAATGATAGAATATTGTTCTCGAATTACTTGTCCATTTGAGCAGCGGTGAGACCTAACATCTTGGTGGAATAGCATATATAGCCTGCATACAAAATGGGTCTTTTTTATTCAAAACTATTGTAAATTACAGATACAAGAACTGGTCTCTGCAGCTACAGGTATCAGTGAGAGTACCATCAAACGCATTAAAAAAGAAGCGTTAAATGTACAAGAGATCAGCACAATTTCATTTTCTACACCAAATAAAAGGAGAAATATTAATAGTAAGGTGGCTCTGGATGGTTTCAACAGAGGATTGTTACGAAGACCAATAATACACTTTCATGTAACCGAAAGACGTGTACCTACCTTGCAATGTGTACACAGGAAGATGATTGAGCTAGTAGGATATCGAGGAAGCAGAGAAACATTGTGTAAAGACATTCATAAATTAGGGCTTAAGTGGAAAAAAATTGAGCCCAATAGGAAGCTATTAATGGAAAAACCAGAAATTCGCCATTTACGTATAATGTTCTTGAGGAGTATGCAGAAATATAGACAAGAAGGACGTCCAGTGATCTATACTGACGAGACATATATACACGCTTCCCATACAAACCCCAAGACCTGGGTAGATGGCTCCACGGAAGGCATAAAAAAACCGGTATCGAAAGGGGACAGATTGATTATTCTCCATGCCGGCAGTGAAAATGGATTCATAGCTAATGCCTATGTGAGATGGAAATCTACGTATAGTACAGGCGATTACCATAATGAGATGAATTTTGAGAACTATAAAAAGTGGTTGGAAGAAAAGTTAGTTCCAAACCTACCTGCCAAAAGCGTGGTTGTTATAGACAACGCACCGTATCACAATAAACAAACAGAAAAAAGCCCAACTTCCTCATCAACCAAAGCAGAAATGATGATCTGGCTTCGTCACAGAAATATCTTTTTTACGGACGACATGCTTAAGCCAGAACTGTACAATTTGATAAAAGTGCATAAGCCTGCTTATAAGAAGAGAATAGATAAAATCACCCCGACTTGAACCCTATAGAACTCGTATGGGAAGCAATGAATCTCACGTAGCATGTTTCAATATCGATTTTCTGCTGTTTTAAAACTCTGCGATGAGTTTTTTGAATACATTTGGTAGTGATGAGTGGAAACGAGATGCGAGCATACAAAGAAGCTTGAAACAGAATTTATAGAACGCGAGCCCGCGGTTGATAGAGTTGTGGATGAATTCGTTATCAATTTGAATCAAACTAACAGTGATAGTGATTTTTTGGAAACTGAAGATGAAGACTCAGAAGGAGAAGAGTCTAGCAGAATTTTGGGTGTAGAATCAGTAGGAGACTCTATAGTGTATGAAAACCATTCTGATAAGACGTACATCAATCTTTGAGGCTGATGATGATAAATGAAAGTGTTTGCAGATTCATTCCTGTGAGATATGTGTAAAATTCTCTAAAGGTGCTGATAGTTTGGATAGTAAATTGTGATCCATTTTAAAATTTTCAAAAGTGATAACAGAATCTTTAGGGCTTAAAGCCCCCACCTTAAGCTTTTTGTCAGTTAGAATCAATATTTATTTCTTTATTTGAGACATTAAGCTTAGAGCAGGGCAGATCTTATAAATTGTAGGATATTATGAAATATATAGGGTTTCAACATCCTTGTACACAATTTACTGTTTTCTGAAAAAATCTAAGCATTAGGCTCAGAAGAGCTGAGGCACGTTTTTTATGAAGCTAGTCAATCAATCGTTTAATGAAAGAATTGCATCCTAAGATTTTTTCGGTCAAGTTCTAGTGAAATGCCAAATTCGGATGGCTCTTATAAATTTCTCTCAGTGTAGTTGGGGTTGTCTACGAAGGGTGAATTGTAATCGTAAAATAGGTAGCCTTTCATCAAATTAAATGAAATAACAGAAATTGGTACGCTGTAACTGAACTTGCCGCGTCGACTGTACTTCTATATCCGTCGGCTATTACCGTTTCTCTCAGACATCCACCGTCTCACTCTGTTTTCTGCGCATCTCGCGGCTCAAGCTGGATTTGCCGACCTAAACTTTTCGCTGGCTTCTGAGCATTAGCTGCCTATGTTTCCTTTCACTCAAGGCGTTGCTATAGATAGGGACTCCGCACAGCACACTCGAGCTAGCTATCCGTGCCAAATGCCTGAATGGTTGCATCATATTATTATAAAACAAGTTTGAAAGAAAATCGTGCATAAAATAAGTCATATATTACAAAAAATAGAAAAGAATACTTTGTAGAAAAATAAAATGTTTAATGAGTCAAGGTAACGGCATTCGACTTTTCAGATTTTCCTGGATTTTTGGAAATCCTCCCAGTCTCAACTACAGTAGTCCTTTCTATACTATGCCAAAAACCATAGCAAACATAGATAATTAGACCTAAAACAATGCAAAATTAACAATTGAAGACACATGTGGATAAAGGTGTCATGTATCATTTTTTAGATATCGCTTTTCTTTCATTATGTGATTACTTTGTTGCAAAAACAAGGAAATAACAAAGTAATTAAACCAAATATTTAAAATGTCAACAAAATAAAAAGTCCCAATTAAAAATAATTGATGTCAATTTTCTCCGTACAATGATTTTGTAATTATTATTGTATCATCAAAGTTTCTTTAAACGCCTCATAGCAGCCGCGATGCTCTGGTATTTAGGCCTACGCGGCTGCTCCGAGAGATATCGAAGCATGCTTTCTCCTTTTAGCGTCGCGTTTGGGTACGGGGTGTAAACGTTATGATAGTCATTATTTAAATGGGTGATAGAGGGGGTTCAAGAAGCAAAAAGTTGCATATAACATGGGGGTCAAAGCGGCATTCTTTAGAGAAAAGCGACTTTAAAGTAATATAAAATCTGATAACGCCGCAATGCCAGACGCACATTACGACGGAACAAAGTGTAAATAAAGATGGAGTTTGTTATTTTTGGCTCTTAGGTATTGTTTCATTATTTGATAATGTACTCGTAAAATGCAAACAATTAAAAAAACTGACTTACCACTAAATGTCTCAGCGCTTCACCTGGTGTGTGAAAGTTTATTGAACGATAACTAATCGCTGTTACCGTTTGCGATCGATTGCCGGTTCGATAAGACTGATGAAGGATCGACTTACTGACTATAAATTTTGGCTTAACTTAGAAAAACTTAATGCCATTTATTTTTTAATTACCCACGTTTTAGATTAGATTATAAAAATTAGTAAGATTGTGGTGATTGTGGTCGATATACGTATAAAGCAGTTAAAGTTGTAAACTATGAAGCTATTTAGACAAAAATCTGTTGACTTTTGGACCATGGGTCATATGAACTTTTTGACTTGTTTTGACCCCCCCTATTACCCATTTCAATAATGACGACTATAACCCAAACACTATGTCAGAAGCATAGTGCGTTCTAAACATCACGCATTTAATGTCTTTATGACTTAAAAAGTGTTATCTTGTATACCTACCAATAATCATCCAGTACGTATATTTCAGCCAAGTATCTTTTTGAATGTTTGTCATCAAATAGACGTTTATAAATATGCTTACACCAGGGATCCACGGGATTAACGGTACCTGCAGATACATCCGATTAAACTCATATTTAGTGTAATTTCCATGTTGACAGTTACTATCTAGAGCTTGCATGACAACTGGGACAGCCAACATGTCGCAAACGTCATCTATGGAGGAACAGCGTGACTACCAGTTTGCTATAATTAGCCTAAACGATTATAAGCACATGATTTGTCAGCATGGTCTGTGAGTTGCAAATGGTAGGAAGGGATTATACCATACTTAATTTTCTGATATATAATCGGTGAGATTCTTCAAGATATGCTGTACATATGTAGGGTGATTTGAAAATTGAAAATGTCGAAAATTTTGAGATTAATAAATTTGAAAAATTTGAATACTTTGAAAGTTTTGGAAAATTCGGTATATTATGATAACTTTGAAAATATGTAATATTTTCATGATATTGCATATTTTGATAATTATGAAAATTTAGATTTAATATTTGAAAATTTCTAAATTTTCAAAACCTGCATTGACAACTATTACAATCTATTGTCAAATGCTGTTAAATCTAGACGTGAGGGTCACTAGTTTAAAATCCAACGGATGTTCAAAGCTCAATCAGCACTTGCCCTTACGTGTCGACTAGAACTTACCGAAAATCCTAAATTTTCGTTTGAGGTTGGCTGGAATGATACTAAAATTAATAATACTATTACAATGGCGCCGAGTATACTGCAGACTATCATTAGCCATGGGGTGCCATCGTATAGATCATCTTCAAATATTGTCATGAATGCGGATAATACGAAGCAGAATATAACTGAAAGTGAAAGAACGTATGAACCTATTTGAAAAGAATCGGAAATAATAGATTTGTATCATTTGAAAAATGAGGATAAGGCTCTACTTCGTAGTTCGTTGCAGCGAGTTAAGCAAAATTGAGCGCGCTAATAACATATGTTTCGACGTTTAGCTATTATAAAAATCGTTTTAGATCTTACAATATAGAGATATCTCCAAAGATACAATTTTCTGCGTTAGTGGGTTTGGATGGATGGTACGTTTGTTGAAGATTTGCTTCAAAAAGTTTTGCTCCCTTGTAGGATTTTTCTCCTCAATTTTTTGTCGTCAGGGTCCATAGAATACCTAAAAAGATGTCCTTGCTCAAGAATATAAGCACCAATTAAGGGTTTTTTTAAGAAGCGGGTTGGAACGAATGAGAAATAAGGGCTAAAAGTGCCGCGATTCTTCTATTGTCTGTCAGAGCGGTTCGTAGGACTTTGAGATTGGTTGAAGTCTTGTAGGTCTGTCAGGCCTGGTTGCCCAGATACCAGACAGTCAGAAAGAAATGAGGGAAGAAGGAAGTTAAGGAAAACGAGGAGCTGGAAGTTAAAGGAAAGAAGAGTCATGGAGGAGGAATTGCGTAAGATAAGGGATAGTGTAGCATTATTAACTAAGCCTCCGGAATTTCAAGTTAATCTATGAGAATAAATTAAGAGTTGTCATACCAGTTTTCGAAGTTATCTACTAACCTTAGAACTAAAACACAAGCTGCTACCATTGAATATGCAAGGAGTGTACCAATCGACATCATTTCAGTGAGCTTAGTTAACTCAAAAATACATGCCAGAACACCTGAAAAGCATTTGTAATGTAATTGTAATACATTTGGTATCAAAATTAGTGCACCATTTCTAAGAAAATTTCTCCTGATTATGTAGCTCTGAAAGTAAATCGATGAAGGTAAAGGCGGTAAGCATCTACAAGGACAAGTTTATCTTTAGTTCAGAAATCCACTACTGTTATTCAGAGCTTAGCCGGAACCAAAGAAGTGACCCTACTTTGGGTCCCTGGACACAGTGGAGAACTGGGTAACGAGAGACCTGATTATGTAGGGTAGGTGAGGCCATCAGTCCCGAGCCTAGAGTGAGCTTAAGCAGACACCAGGTCAACGTCGCACTGAATGAATTGTTATAAAAACCTAGGAAAGTGTGACAAGAGAGAAATGACTGAAGGTAGGCCAAACGGTTCATAACGGGCCCCGACAAACATCGGACACGATAACTGCTAAACAGAGATATTCAATCTTTTGATAGGGGTTCTAACCAACACATTGAACAGTGACTTATCTTTTATAAGCTTTTCTTCGTATAAGCGGACTAAGGGCTGAGGTAGTCGGAGTTATGTAGTTTGATAGAGAAGTTACATACTCAGCATAGTGGTCGGACATCCTGACCTTCATCAAGAGTCCAGGAGCATTCGATTGGTTAGGGGATATACATGTGGAGGAGGGTGTTGGTATAGTCGGGGTCTGCAATAGCGCCAAAGCTAGCCGCTAGGCTTCCCTCACTACTACTATCACAACTAACTGGAAAAACTTCCAAAGTAGTGAGGCGCTAATCTTAGCAACTAGTGCATGTGTCTTTGGCTGCTTTTTACTTTATGCTAGGCTTTCATGAAAAATCTACGAACCTGCTAGACCTCCAGCAATTAATGTTCCAATAAACGGAGTCTGAAAGTGAGAATGCACTTTTCCTAAAGACTTGAACAGTAGCCCATCGGAAGCCATTGCGTAGATAATTCTTGGTAATGGAAACATTGCCCCTAGTAAGCTAAAACCAGTTTATATTAAACTAAATAATATTTATAAACTTTTGCTCTCAATTTATGATCAATCTCACCTTGCAAAAAGTCCACATATCGCTCCAATACTGACTATATACTTGATCACATTCCATCCCAAAATGTTGTAAATGTGGGCAAGAGGAGCTTGATCATCCTGAAGAAAATACATCAAATAAGTAAATTTTCTGATTACTGATAACATGCAATATCGAAGAAGAATTCAGGCTTAATTTATAGCAACTGTATCAATTAAATGCTATACTTCACTGCGATTTTCTGTTTTTTATACTGTGATAAGAGACACAGATCACACAGTAAAAATGATTTTATTTGAATAAATTTTGTACATAATTACGGAATAATGTGGTGGGACACCCCAATGCCATCCCACTTTAGTCTCTCTAAATAATCCGAAAACTACGAGGCGCAGATAAAAATCTACAAGCAAATGTTGTAGGGTTTTGAGGGAACAAAATAGTGGCGACCTTGTCTGTGACGTTGACCCCGATCATTTTAAAGTCTAGTAAATATTTTAAAATGGAACTCCGCCTTTTTTGTACCGGAATTAGAAAGAGAAAAAATGTGACCTTGACTATGACCATTACCATGTTCTTTAAAGCCATATCAAGTTGTAATCAACACATCGAAAAAAAATTTGGTCTAGCAAAAATGTTTGACAGCACAGTAGGCGCTACCCAAAGATGACCTTGACCAAAATAATCATCACCTTCAAGATCATGTGAAAATTTCAACCTTCCAAATAAAAAATGTCTTGCTCTCCGATTTTGACATAAAGATCAAGGAGTTCATACCAAAGTCTAGCGAATATTTTCAAATGGAACTTCTCCTTTTCACACCGGAATTGGAAAGAGAAACAATACGAGTAATTGTATGTCTGAATATGTCCTTGACTGTCATCACTCTCACCAAGTTCTTAAAAGCCATATCAAGAACACAATTTGCTCTAAAAAAAATAATCACATTTGAAAGGTTTAGTTTGAGGTTATGATTTTCTGCAAATGCACTAATAGATTTTATATCTTCATTAATTTCATATTCAGCAAATTGAGTGTTGCTACTATGGAAGTAATTATAAATTCGACAGTCATCAGCAAACTGAATACTAGAATGCTAGACGAATGTGTACAAGTCTGCAAATTTGACATAAAAATCAATGGGTTGCCTTTCCAATGACTTTTAAAATTGACATGACCTTGAATTTGAGGTCAAGGTCTTATTTGGCGTAACATTTCATGTTTTTCGAATTCCAGGATAAACATAAATGACTTCTTTTGAAAATTTTGATCTGAAGGTCATGGTTAAGGTCACCTTCGGGTAATCCCCACCAACTTCACAACTGTGCTGTCCAACATTTTTGCTAGAGGAAATTGTTTTCAATGTCCTTACTCGATCTTGAAGTGAACTTTGATTGAGGTCATGGCTATGCTCATAATCAAGGTCATAATGAGATGCAGAATTTTCTTCTCTTTCCAATTTTGGTTTTAAAAAGGGGAAGGGGTTCTAAGGGGAAATATTTGCTTGACCTTGGAATCACCTTGAAGTTCATGATGATGGTCATGGTCAAAGTCATAATCGTATTTGCCCCGTGGGAACCCTGCAAGTTTATATTGAAATGTGTTGCTAGGGTGCGGAGTATGAAGCAGTAAATTTGTTGTTTGTGACGGTTGTGATAAGGGCCCTAAGTGACTGACAAATAGAACAAAAAAAAGCAAGGTGTACCACGAGGCAATAAAATCGGAGTTCGGCTAAAAAAGACAGCCTCAGCAACAGTGCTTCTAGCAGCGATTCTACTAATTTCTACTGCGACTTTTATTCTGCTAGTCCAGGCTAGATAAAAAAATGTGAGAAAAGCATAGCACATATCTGAAAGCTTTAAATGGAAAGGAAGTATTTCTTATGACAAATACAAAAAAGATACAGCCAGATATGCCTTGTTTTTATAGACAATAGGAAAAGTCCAAAATTTAAACTTTTGTATAATGTAGAGCATGAAAAGGCCTTCAATTTTGTTTTTTAAGAATCGATAGATAATAATTAAGCTAAATACGAAGCTTTTTAGCAATATTGAATAAATATTTATAACCACTGCAATAACAATTATAAATGGCTAAAAATTCTTGAGAATGAGGGCATCATTGGTGTTAATAAGTGTTCTAAATTTCAGCCGGATCGGTTTAATAGTTGTTGCCCAAGATATGGTCCTAGAACATCTTACAAAAGTGAAATACAAGTATAATTTGGAGGTTTCAATTTCAAGAATTTATGCAACAAATTAATTACTTTCAAGCTTTCCAGGATTTCCCGATTTTGCAGGAAAATGAAAATCTGCCAGATGTCATTATTTCGTCGAGTTACTCAAGTTAAAAAAAGAAGGTTCTGCGTTGCTTAGAAGTCAAGATAATGCAAAATTTCACGGCGCGCTCCGATTTGAAGACTCAATTTTGAAAAACAAATCGCTAGAGCTGATTCCCGCACTACCTCACCCGGAAATAGTTACGCGAGTACCTTCAGTTTATGTGGCTATTTCTTGAAGACCTTTGAACTAATAGTAATATTATAAATTGGATCACAAAATTACGATCCTTGATCAAAATCGGTGAAAATTTCAAGTTTTATTGTTTATAAATAAAGGAGATATGAATTTAAAAAAAACTTGGCTCCTATTGGTCGCACAATATTTTTTTGTCGTTAGAAAGACTCCTTCCATTTAAAACTTTCAGATATCTGCTAAGCTTTTTTACATGGAATACCTATTTTTTTACTCTGTAGGCTGGGCTATTATTGTTAGAGTGCGCTCTGGAAAAACCGTGGCGCCACCAAACTTAGTGACAAGAAAGGCAGCGGAGGAACAAACAATAGAAGTCAAAGTGGAATGGCATTGCGGTCGCAACAATACTATGTTTTTTCAAATTATTTTACGTTTTGGATGATAGTTTAACTCAAATTAACCTTGTTCTTTCTAACGTAGTTGTTTCTGATAAGAAAAGTTCATAACACCCTGTGAAGTTCTTCTAACAGCTCCAACTTTCTGAAAAAGTCGATCAGCTTACTGGGAGAATCGCGTTTCAGATCCTTGGAGCACTGGACTACTAAGTACCTAGATATCAGACTGTCCCTTGCATTAGCAGATATTAGTTCTCTTTAGTCCTTCTTAGTACTATTGAATTTTCCGTCCTATCTCTAAATTCTCATTTTTAGATTGTCAAATATTGTTTTTGTTGATTTGTACTTAGTTATTATTAATCTTTCAAAACTCGTACTTTACCTGTTCATAATATGGTAGTATCATCGTTATCACGGTGGACATTGAAAAATAAGCCAAAAATACAACTAAGAGAGACAATACAACTCCTAACGGGATTGATTTTTGTGGAGTCTTAGCTTCTTCACCTGCAAGTCATAAATACAGACTTATGTAGGGAATAATGTTGTGTAATGAGTGACCCTTACCATGGCTATGAAAATCACGGTCACGCAATTTTGGCAAGAAATATCTATTTTTAATTCCTGAAATGCAAATCGCCGACAATCTTAAGTTCAAGTATATCCTTGCCAATGAACCTAACCATGACCTTCAAGCTCATTTTAAGATCAGATAAATTTTTAAGTGATCTCCTTATATTTTGTCGAGGATATAAAAAAGCAAAATATTGAAATTAATGTGTTACATAACATGTTGGGTAAAATACATTAATTGTCAAAGTACTTATTGCATACTTTGAATAATGCATTTCTTTTGCCGAAAAGATTATTCTCCTTGACACTAATGCAAAACGAATTATCTATATTTTACACTACATCCAAGCGAGCAGAGCCGGATTCTAGTACTACATATAAGAAGTTGTTGATAATAACTACACAATCAATTACAGTACATGACAAAACTCACTTGCTGTAGCTATACAGTCGAATCCAATAAATCCATAAAAACATCTGGCTGCCCCTTTAATAATCCCTTTGATCCCATAAGGGAAGAAACCACCTTGTCCTTTACCGTTGGCTTCTACGGCTGACCTGTTCCAATTCGATACATCCACTTAAAAACAGATAACTGCGTTTTTCTCTCTTTTCTTCAAAATACAGTATAATACAAGCACAAGTGTCGTATTTGGGTCGTCCTTATACCTCCGATAGAGGGTACATTGCTTTGTTTGCTGTTTATCATCAAAATACATAAGGTTTAACTAGTTGTTAATATTCTATATCAGCACGTAGTGTAACCAAAACTTTGCGGTCGGTTCTAACGGGGTTACAAATAAAAACCGCGATCTATGTGCGGACTCTCCTTGGGTACCAAGGTGATGTTGCCGAACTGCCATGTAATATTTATAAAAAGCTATATTTATACTAAGCAGATCCGCTCTTTTCAGAGCTTTCGGTGGTTACGTCAAAAAATCATATCTACTAAATAAATAAGCATACCCTCTTAAGCCTAGGATGTTTAGATAACTCGATGTCAAATAAACCGACAATTAGTCAAATAAGCAATTCGAGGTGAGAACACTTTTAGAACTCCAAGCTGACGTCCTGCTTCTATTATCTAAGTAAGTCGTGGGGCTCTAAAAGTTAAATAGCTATGTGATAACTTGCAAGCTTCGAGAAGAACTTCTTTCGCGAAAAGTGTGACATATCTTTATTGTATGAAATATGTATTTCTTAGGTTGCAAATATAAATAAATATCCCCACCATGAATAAAAGTCCAAACAAAAGCGAATTTGAAAAAAACGGTTGTCGCTACAAGAGATGTCAATGAATTCATCCAAAAAGGCTCTTCTATCTTGCAACAGCGCATTTATTTTCGACTAAATGAGATGAGAACAGACGCCATCGGCAGTTTTCTGGACGTTTTCTCTTTGAAAAAGGCTTATAGGTCAAAAGATCTGCCAGACCGGCACGGGTATTGCGTATCTGGAAAAGTAACATAATGCCGATTTTTTTTTGACATTGTATTGGTTTTTTGTGACATTATGCAGGTTTTCCTACAAGGTGTTAACTTAGCACTAGCTGATGACACGTTGTGAACTAGATTTGTAGTTGTACGTGTTGCCTAAACGTCATGAGGCTTCAGTTATCAATGTTTGGCTCTGATGTGATGCAAAATCTGCTCCAGAGATGGCATTACTGGAGGTCTAAGCTGTAAGTTGTATGTGTTGATGATGATTCCATTGGATTCTTGTCTCAAATACACTTGTTTGAGATTCAAAGCTAGAAATTAGTTGCACATCCACTTTTTCTTATCAATTCTGGAAATTACATGTCATGCAAATTTGAGGAATTTCAAAAATGAGAGAGATAAGAAATAATTATATTCACTGTCCACTGTCAATAAGAAGTCATATACATGCTTACAGTAATTACACACAACGCAGGCGCGGTGATGGTTTCCGTAATTCTCCTCAAAGTTTTTCGCAATTTATGACTTTGAATAAAAGCTGTCTTCAGAAAGCATAACATATAAATATCCCATCGAGCACAGCTCACAGATATACTTCATTGGCAGCATATTCAGTAATGATTCTCTCATACAGCAAATATCACTGATTTTATACACATCCTGACCAATACACATAATCATCCAGATGCGAGCTTGCTATTCAACCAACTTTCTTTGTTTCACATCTTCTCAGAGATGAAAACTACATACTTCTCGGCTTCACAAAACATATGCAACCAACAGTGTGAATAGTTTAGTTAAGTATAAGACGTCATCTTGCAGACTAGGTAGTTTTTAGGGTGCAAACAATCATTCCACGTTTGCTCACTTGGATCGTTGTGACCGTCCATCTATGGAGGAATGACTCAACGAAACGTATACACGCATTGTTGGTTGCATATGTTTTGTGAAGCCGGGTGGTCTATAGTTTTCATGTCTGAGTCTCTGAGAAGAAAGTTGGATATTTGGTTGAATAGCAAGATCGGATCTGGATGATGGTGTCTATTGGTTTGCATATGTATACAATCAGTGATTCTTGTTGTTTAAGAAAAAAATTACTGAATATGCTGCCAATGAAGTATATCTATTAGCTGTTTCCGACGGGTTATTTATATGTTGTCATTTCAAAGTTATCAATTACGATTTTTTATGTTTTTTTATGTTTTCTAAACTTTGAGGAGAATTACGGGAAATCACCACCGCGCCAGCGTTGTGTGTAGTTACTGTTTGCATGTTATATGACTTGTAATTCGATAGTGTACAGTGAATATAATTACTTCTTATCTCTCCCATTTTTGAAATTCAGCGAATTTGCATATGTAATTTCCAGAATGGACAAGAAAAAGTGGATGGGTAACAAATTTCTAGCTTTGAATCTCGAGTAAGTGTATTTGAGACAAGAATCGTATGGAATTATCATCAACACATATAATTAGCACCCAATGCACCTATGCCTATGCATTGCCGTTACCTCCAGTAATGCCATCTCTGAAGCAGATTTTACATCACATCAGAGCCAAACATTGACAACTGAAGCCTCATGATGTTTAGGCAACACGTACACACAACTACAAAACGAGTTCACAACGTATCCATCAGCCAAGTTAACATCTTGTAGAAAAACCAACATAATGTCACAAAAAACAAAATAATGTAAAAAAATCGGCATACTGTCACTTTTTAAGATACGCAATACCCATGCCGGTTGTTCAAATACCAGACAAAGTCTGGGAGAAATCAGGAGGAGTAAGATAGAAAAGACGGGCGAAACGAAAAAAAAAAGAATTGCATCAGATAGAAGCTGGTTTGACATGTTTTCTTACCTTTCCATAGTCCAGAGATAATCACAATAAGAACCACGGCAATATTGGTCAATGTGAATACATTGTTTACTAGAGACGATTCTTTTGCTCCACATGCCAAGGCCACTGAAAATATTTCGAAAGTATAGTTATTTTTGTAATAAGATCGCAAAGTACTACTTTGCCGCTACAGAATATTATGTTTGAAAATGCACATCAAATCTTTTCTACTACTGTAGCAATATGCCTTATGCTTACTCTAGATTTGAAACTGATAAGAATCCACGTACAGCCATTATAACCATGTATGGTAGAAAAGAAATGAGACTAATTTTGTATTTGCCAATGTATTTATTTTTTCAAACATCAATTTTATCCCCTTGAAAGAAGTTTTCTTGAGCAGCTACTCACCGATGGAGACGATGAATCCGGTTTTGGTAGCAGCGGTGAAAGTCTTCAACCGTCTTGACCATCATCATGTCCCTCATGCTATTTCGAATGTCTAATGTCTTTTCGCGAACTTCTTTGGTTTCAGAATGAGTAAAAATCACAGGAACTGAGATCGGGTGAATAAAGGGGCTGAGGAACCATAGGTAAAAAATTATGTGACAAAGTGCTGTGATGATGATTTGGGGAACCACAGGTCAAAAATTCTCTGCCAGAGTGCTGTGATGAAGGTATAGTACATCCACTCATCTGCAATATTAAATCTATAGCGAATGAGCTTTTTCTAAGCCTTCCAGGGAGGTCTTCATGAAAAAAAAAACACAGGAAAAATTATTTATGGACGATTCCGGTCCTGTAAAAAAACAAATCAGCTTTGACTGGCCTTCCTGACTCTACCTCTTGGTGTCAGGATCGTACTGAAGCTTTCAGGATTCGTCACCTGTGATCACACGACTGAAGAAATCTTGTTCATTAGCGATTCTGCTAAGAAACTCAAGAAACTTGATTTATCGATTGTTTTTCTGCTCAATTATGCGGTCTTTCGGACCAATTTTGGCACAAATAGTTCGATGTGCAAATGTTTGGTCAAAAGTTTATCAAAAGCGTATGTGTCCACAATGAGAGTCTGATCTCTCAAGAGTGTTCACACGTTCGATGTTTACGTCGGTGTTCGAAGTTGAGGGTCTCGCGGAGCGGAGTTCGTCTTCAACGTGTTCTCTGCCGTTGAAAAATGATTTATGCCAGCAAAAAACTTCGGCTCGGGATGAAAAACGTTCACCATAGACTTGTTGCAACTCTTCAAAGGTCACACATCCGTTTCTCCAAGCCTACCTAAAATCTAATTGCACAGCCTTGCTCCAAATTCCGTTTTTCCATTTTGCGTGACGCACAACCAAACACAATTTCACTAATGGCAGACCCAACAACCCCGTGGACAGAGTTGAAACCGTACGGCTCGCACTGTGCGAAGGGTCTGGCTCACAAGCTCAGTGTTGCCAAAGTGAAAAACAAAATCGTCGCTGGAATCCGGTAGATTTAAGGAAAAAATCGGGAGTATGAAAAATCAGAGACGCTGAAATATCAAGGGCTCAGAACGGAGATTTTCTGCACATACAAAACACAAATTGAAATTATTTTTCCTTTCTTAAAAAAAATATAATAATCAGCTTTGATTTCCTTCTTATTTATCCGGCGATATGGAAATGATGATGCTGATCTATCAGTGTATACCTATTGTACACACAAAGACCCACAACATAAATGCGGGTGTTCCCCAGGGATCAGTTTTGGCTCCGACACTGTTCCTCTTACATATCAGCGACTTCCTTTCGAGTACTGTATGATCGACTCAATCCACAGCTTTGCTGCTGATGACAGCATCCTACATGCAGAGATTCAGAGCAACAAGCAGATCTCTGCCGGTGAACTGGAAAAGAGAAGACTAGCAGTGACTTCCTCTCTGACAAGAGGCTTGGAACTTATCACTGCTTGGGGACGCAACAAGCTTGCACAGTTTAACGCTTCCAAAACACAGTACTGTACCTTGACGAACAAAAAGCGTCCTAGCGCTTATCCGGTTTCGATGGATGGCCGAGAGCCGTTAATTTCAACTGGCCGGAATAGCAGCAGCTGCTGGGAAAATACTAGGCTATTTGCTTAGGGCTAAGAATTACGTTTCTCCTCATGACCGCCTGACTTTATACAAGGCCCAGATAAGACCTGACAGCGAGTATTGGTCACACGCTTGGGGTGATGCCGCCCCGACTATATTATTTATACTCGATCCTGTCCAGATGAGGACTGTCCGATAGATGACTCTTCTCTAATAGTCAGTCTCGGGACTCTTTCGCACCGGTGAGCCGTCGGCGATCTAGATCTTTTCTACGCTACACCAACGGGCTTTGCCAGAAAAATCCACCCGCCTGACTTTGGCCTCCCATCCCAACCGTGTGGAAGTTCGTACCTCCAGAACTGGCCGATACGACCGCTTCTTTGTTCCAAGGGTGCAAAGATCCCAGTTCTACTAACCTTATGCAGTTCAGAAATCAGATTAATAAATTTGACTGAAGCGCAATGAAGGATGTGCGTAACATAATCACAGGCAATTCAAATCTACTGCCCAGTTGCCTGAATTGTGTATGCTTTGGGGCTTGAAACTACATTCCTGATATCAACTCCTTCTCGGTAAAAAATACATATTTAAAGTATATACTTAATAAAATCTCATTCGGAAGAAATACCGAAAAAGCGGTAGGTTTGGCAGCACCACACATGCCCTATGAAGGACAGTAGTGCAGCATTGGCAGAGCGGTTTTGTTAGTCTCATTACTTTTTTACCGCACCTCGTATACTACATTTTGATGACATCCGAGGTTCTAGCAACATGAAATCTCTCCATCGTCGGTCCGATGGCCGCCAGTACTAGAGTGATATATGATTTGCGATCGGCAATTGGAAAAGGATAAATATTTACCTGAGAAAATTACAGACAGGCTGAGGGAAAATATGTCTGCATATGAAGATACCTGATTACCCCCAAGAGGCATATTTTTCTCAAAAAATACCGTCATGGTTCTATTCGCCAACTCGTCTATGTACAAAAATATTGCCTTTGTAACTGTTGCTGAACCTAAACAAATAATAATACATGTAATTTCCTTCAACATCGTACAAAATAATATAAATAACATTAAGCGGCCGTTGTTTGATGACCCTTTTATGGTAAGGACGTCACATTTGTCTGGCCTGTAAGGCAATAAGGGGGCGGATTGAAAATGATGCCTCCTTTCTTGAGAAAAATGTTTGACAACTGTGCCTTCACTTCCTACACAGTGCTGATCGAGGTTGTTTCACTTGTATATCCCTATATGTACGAGAGAAAGAAGAGGGAGAAGCGTGTTAGAAAGAGCGCACCATATAAGGGTCGTCACCCTCGTCACAGTAAGTTATAGCCACCCTCCGTGTCCTCCCTGCTGTCGTTGCCAGGCAACGTGATGACGACGCTCATATGGTGCTCTCTTTCTAACACGGTTCTTTCATTCGTAGGCATGGAAACCTGAAAGAGAAAACGACTTTGGCTAGCACTGTGTAGGTATCAAGGCAAATAAGGCGATAGTGTCCAGCGGGGCAGGATTATACCTGGCAAAAGCGTATAAGAAAGCTTCGCGATTGAAACCTGCACAGTTGAAGATATTTGCCATCCTAATAGTGGCATACCTAGACGAGCTTCAACCAAGCGAAGCATATTCATATTTCATGACAGATCATATTTATGCTGTGACAGACAAGCAGCTCTGGAGGCCGAAAACATTATATATGCCCATGTGCTGGGAGGAGGACCAGACAGTGTTCCACTTTCTAAGTTCTTGCTGTATGTCGTAGAGTAACGAGTAATATATTGTTTCTGGTAATGCTCAACAAAGACCCTTTTTAGGAGATCAGGAAGGTTCGATGGATTAGTGGATAAGCGTGTGGAGTAGGTGATAGTACACTTACGGTTAGCAAAAGGGGTCAAAAGTAGCCTACTTGCCAGGCATTGCCTCCCCATGACCACTAGTACTACTACTACTAAGGTGCTCGTGCAATAGGAAGTCAAGTGAAGCAAGGACCGAGTATGCAAAGTGTCCAAGATAAGGATCCTGGGGATCTCACTTCCTGTGGTAGATGCAGCTTTGGTTAAACTAGGAAGAAGCTGCGTTCTATATTTGGCCACAATATTGTCATTTTCTCACATCCACATTTTAGGCACTACTTGATGGTGCTTTTAAATTTCGTGCCCGACGTTCGAACTTAATTTTTTTTATATGGTTCGAAAAAAGTATACCCTGTATCTGATAGCATTTTTTATACAAATTCAACGATGTATCACATGTTACATCTATTTTCTTGGTTACAAGGAAAAATGCTTCATTCTGCTTTTTTTAAGTAGTGCAAAAAATACTAAAAATACTGCAGAAATGTATCTTGATACATTTTCCGAAAGTAGGCAGCCAAGTAACTCCATTTGTTTAGAGTTGGTTTAAAAATTAGATGAATATGGTTCATTGAAAAAACCAGTTACGTCTCGAAAAAAGGAATCTTTGGATGAAACTCAGAATAGTGTTTTCGATGCAGTTGCTGAGATATCAATTAGACAAATTGAGACAAATGTAGGAGTAGCCCAATCCACAGCCCAATTTATTTTACGAAAAAAGAGATATCAATCACCTGTATAAATTCAGAATTTTTCAAGGACTTAGACCGGGGGATAGCGAACGGTGAGTCGTACACACGAACGTGTGAAGATTTTAATTTCCCTTTAAAAATAATATGGTCCGACGCCGCAGCACTCATTACTGGGTTCACGAAAATCTGCGGGCTAAAAAAGTATTCAGACATCAAGAACGTTTTGGGTTCAATATGGGATCAAAATATCAGGATCATTCATTTACCATAACTCATTAACTGCAGAACAGTACCTTCAACTGTTGTAGCATGATCTAGGAGACTGCGCGGATAAATAATGTACCTTTGGCACTGGTTAATAGCTGACGGCCGATTTCCCGGAAGGTGGATCGCAACTGAAGAGAAGTGTACTGGCCAGGGCGCTCCCCGGATTTAGCTGCTCTAGACTTTTTTGTTTGGGGTTTTATTAAAAACCAAGTTTATCAGCGTAGGTACTTTTGAAAATGAGCAGCAGTTACGAGAATGAGTAATCGAAGCATTTAAACCAAAAATGTTACGTGATGTTTTAAATTCTACTGTTAGGAGATCATATTTATGTTTAGAAAATAATAGCATCCTACTCGTATTGTGAATAAAATAAAAATAATGTTAAAAATGTATTCGTTATTCCGAATATCACTAGTTCAAGCAGCATTTTATTAAATTTTACTCCATCAGCAACGCGTACTTAAAATTAAAAGGTAAAAAGCACACTTTTGTTCATAACTGAGCAAACAAATGTAACATGTGATACATCGTTAAATACATAGGAAAAGACGCTACCAGATACAGGGTGTACTTTCTTCGGACCATATAAAAAATTAAGATTGGGTGGTTTCACAGAAACGAAACATCGCGCACAAAATTTAAAAAAACCATCGTGTAGTGCTTGGAAAGTGCCAATGGAAAAGCTCCATTAGTTTTTTGACATTTCTTAAATTAAAGTAAAAACATAAATACGATTTGGCGAAATTTTAGTTTTTCCCAAATACCGCAGTAAGCCCTGAAATTTTTACAAGTCTATTAGCGGCATGTATATTATATACGCATATAGAATGCAGCTATTTCCTAATTTGACCTAAGCTGTCCCTCCCACAGGTATCGAGATCCCTATGCATAGGATCCTTATCTTGGACACAAAATCCCTTAAAAGTACAATCTTGATCTTGGGTTGATCTGTATGTATACTGATATCTAATAAAAAAATTTGCTTTACAAATATTGGACAGTTGTTAGTTACCTATAAGGTATTCCAATATCAAATTCCATCCAATGATAAAGGCGAAAAATTCTCCAACGCATACATAACTATAAACGTATGCAGACCCAGCTTTAGGAACTCGAGCGCCAAATTCTGCATAACACAGACCTGAAACAATTATTGAAAACAGTACAATTTTCGATTGTACCTATCAAAGAATACGAAATAGGTAGGAGGAGGTTGTTGGCTACGTGGGTCTCTTATACAGTTCCAAGTGTTCTAGACAATTCCCAAAACTGGTTGTTTGCAAAAGGCAGTTTGAGCTGAGAGCAGATGTCTTATAGGTAAGGATAGTTATCACATTTGCGAAAGGGCAAGAAACTCAAGCTAAGGTTTTTTATTAGCAAAGTTTGATACCCAAACCAACATAAGTTAAACCAGAACTATACCTATTTTCATTTTGAATCTAAAAGTTCTTAAGCAACGTCCTTACTTTTGCGTTTACTCATTATTTAAGCACCAAAATCTTTTATACCAAATTAATCAAATCACTTCTAGATATTTTTATTGGATCAATGCAGGGGGTCTTGATAGTTGGGACTTTCATTTTCAGAACAACTAAGGCTAAGGTATGGTAAACACTTAAAAAAGAAATTGAAAAAAGTACCCACTATTTATTTAATCAGGAAGTACTAACACTTTCTTTTCTCGTAAATACTGTTAAATTTAACGCAGTTCGATTCAAAAAACACATGTTTGTTAAGTTCTTACTAAGTTTTACCGTATCCACCTTGACTGGCATTGAAAGATGTAAACAACGTACCCTGCTTGAGACGGAAACATCCGAACGATCTGAATACACTCGCGAGGTATCAGTAGAACCTTCGTATCACAAAATTGTTCATATATGCTGGACCGTTAATAGACAGGTATATTTACTTTCTCCTTCTTTTCATTTATTTCATTTATCCCTGTGTTTTGAATAACTGAGGGTCGTATCATTAGACGTTGCTACGAATTCTAGGACGCCTTTATGGCCTCCTTGATTTTCATAGTTTTCAATTGTTCCTTGTCAGCGCTCTATTTTGAGGTTATGTTACAAATATCCATTTGCATCAAATTGTTCAAGCTTTTGATTTATATCATCTGTTACCTAGCCTGAAATTTCCTTCGATTCAAAAAGAAAACATAGTCTCACAATAGGAGAGCGCTGACGCTGACACGGAATAGTAGAACTCTAGAAATATCCCAGCTTTTCTGAAGGATAGAAAATACCATGAAAATCAAATAGGCCATAAAGGCATCCTACAATATTGTAGGAACGACTGACGATACGGCCCTAAATAATTCACATCGCAATATAAGTAGATTGTATTTCTACCCTGCAGTACGAGACTGCACCCTGTATAATTGACTAGTGAAATACTTTTATAGAGAAAAGAAAATATAGTTTGTTACTTTGGTAGGCAATGGTAGGGAAATCTATCCAAAAGTATGCATTAACTCTACGCAATTTTGTTGAGAGTCATTGCCTGGGGAACCTGTAGAATTGCCTCCTTCTAACCTATTCGAACCCAAGACTTGACCCCCTTAGAAAAAATATCTTACTCCAGGAGAAACATACTGTATATACCTACCAGCTAAGATAGATGCAAGAGCCGCAATCAAAAAGGATATGATAACAGCTGGGCCCGCCGTGTTTTTTGCAACATCCCCAGCTAGCACGTATACCCCCACACCAAGGGTGCTTCCTACACCTAGAGCCGTCAAGTCGAAAGTGGTCAGTACTCTGGCTAACTCGGTGTCCTGATTCTCCACGACTCGTTTTTTTCTACTCAGAGCTGAGAAGGTGCTAGACCACTTGGGGAAACTGAGCTTCATCACTTCTGTCAGGTCTGCAAAATATTGGAATATACTGAACAATGATCCGATTGTTACATAAATTGATTAATAATGTAGATTATACTTGAGTATTCCTATCTAAAGAATCATACTATCTCATAAAATAATCGAATAATCTTAGTCTAGAAAAATATAAGTACTTCAATTTTATCTTATCGTTTATACAATGTAATGTTTTGCATACATTTTCCATTGCTGCGATAAAAGTACTTTTTTGGAAATAAGGCAGCCCAAAGCGCCATCTATTATCAGAATCGAGCACTGCGAGAGAGTATAGCAGCTATCGGTTGAGACTTTAAAGATCTCAGTTTGATAGCTGTGACCGCTAGAGGCTGACGATTCTAGCGGTACAGTAGATGTGGTTTACTCGCCATTGGACAACTAAAAATGGTCGTCCGTTCGACCACCGGCAGCCAACTATGGACAGCTGTTTCGTGCTTCTTGGCAACTCATCAGCATGATCTAGGCTTGGAGTCTGAGTCAACGAACGAAAGCATAGCAACTATCATCTATCGAAATAAGAAGGCACAAAGCGCCATCTATTACCAGAATCGACAGCAGCGAGAGTGTATAGCAGCTGTCGGTTGGAACTTTACACTCATTTCAATAGATCTCATACCTCGGATAGAGAATAGTTGCTATACTGTCGTTCGTTGTCCCAGGGTCCAATGTTGATGAGTTGCCAAAAAGCACGAAATAGCTGTCTGTGGTCGGACGGACTAAATCATCATGTTCAGTTTTCTCGAATCTCTCTAGATTCGCGAAAATATTTTTAACTATGAAGACATAAGTTCGTTGTGAAGCTTATACAAGGTATTCACTTGAAAACCTCCCACCACGATTAAAAGAAAAAACGCTCAGACACGTCAAAAGATTTGTCAAGGGGGACAACCAAAAACTACTTCACGCCCTCGGTCCCACAGGGTCCTTCTCTTAAAAATTTTAAATGACAAGGGGTATCAAGTAATAGCTTATTTCAAAGGTCTTTCGAAATCTTTTACTTTGACGTATGATTTTTTAAAATCAATCGATTCGTGTTCGAGAAAATTAGAAAAATCTTTATTTATCTTAATTTGTTTTATTTCAATAAGTGTTCAAAATGTTTCCCGTTAGGGTTTGCCAAATGTACAATTCGTTTATAATTTAAAACGGAAACTACCAAAATAAACAGCAATTTGAAAGATTACGCGTGACAAAAACCAAATAACAACCCGAATTTTGTCATCTTCATTTTCATCAACACAGATATCCTGGGCGAACTGTATTTATTGCTATACCTGTTTTGTTATTAGTGGCTAAGGGAAAGAGAGGATTTAATTTGCTGTCAGTTACTTTTGTTACAATCTTGGGATAGTGAAAATTAATATATTGATTCAGATTTTACTTCGAAAATGGCTTACACACTAGTCGGAAGAGTGAAAATGATGAATTTTGGAATAAATCCTAATACTTCATTTCACAAAATTGTTGCTGCGACTGGTATTTCATGAGGCTCTGTAGATACAGTTATTAAATTAAACTCCATAAATTTCATCCATTCAAAATGAAAGTATTTCAATAGAAGAGTTGAGTTTTGTGAAAAATGACTGCAGCGATTAATGATAATACCATTCATGTAAAGAATATCTGCTTCAGTGATGAATGCACGTTTTATCTAAACGGATTTGTTAATAAGCATAACTTCAGGGGGTATTTGCATTGGTTAAGGCATTCTACCTGAATATAGCCAACCATATATATGTTTTAGACGACCAAAAAAGATATCTGAAAGATCCTAACGCCATCTATGAGGGGCTATTTAAACACAAGAATAAATCTACTTTGGAAAGAGTTGTAAAGCTTGGTTCTGCCACTGTCTCACAAATAGACGTAGGATCTTTCATTCCCTTTTAGACTACTTTATTTAAATATCTTTAGGTGGCATACGTTAACCAATGCCTGAAGATACTTAATTGAAATACGGATTACAGAGACGTTGAAAAGGACCGAAGATCCTAGTGTCAGCTATAAAACCGTAGAAGAAACACGAACGCCATCTTAAATTCATTTTTGTAGTCTGCAATTGCCTCATACCTAGATGGCACTTGTATGCCTCAGATCGCTTTTTGAACGCCGGAATTCAGTATTAGCACACAATTGGTAACCTAGAAGATATATCCAGGTAATCTCCTCGGTATAATTTAGCTACGCTAGCTGGTGCGCACCGCCGTTTAAAGCGTCAAGGAGATACTGTATGATTGATAATGTAATCCAGCACTTGGACGATGAACATTGCACAGGTCAAAGCTGCCAACAGCCCTAAATACATAGTCTGACCCTGTACCGCTGTGTGTGCGTAAAACCATCCGTCTGACAAATATTAACTAGAGTGATTCTACTGGCCCTATACTGCGGTATTACGTTGACTTCACATATTCAGGTAGAATACGTTAGCCACTAGTTCTTGTTATTTTGTCGATGTAGACCGCGATTTCGTATGGTCCTCGGAAATAGCTATTTACCTAACAAGTGAGGTAAATACACGTTCCGCAAGTGTTAGGTACGTGTATAAGATTTTTTCTACTAGAGTGCGGAAAGTACTCACTTTCAACTCGCATCTACGCGCAGAAAGTAGCGTGCGGAAAAGTGCTACTTTCTGCACGTAAATGCGTGTTGAAAGTGAGTAGTTTCCGCACGCTGGTAGAAAAACATTATATTTGCGTGCTTGACTAAGAACAATGAAACGTATTTTTGCGCAATAGCAAATCCAATATCAAGTAAGATTACCTCAAGTACAAAATGCTTGTAAGCCACAATATATTTTTCACTTAATATGTGGGAAGTGCACACAACTTGAATATTATTGAAACTGGGTTACTTGCTCGTTAACAGCGTATTTGTAGGTAGATAACCGATGATTGCATGTCAATCGATTTATGAAGTTATTGTCAATTTATTGAACTAATTTCCTCTATAAACTTCCTTTGATAGATCGTTAGTTTTATCATTCTCGGTTAAAATACAATCGCAAAGCGTGGATCAGATATACTCGTAAACTAAGATACATTGTAAGGGCACTGTGGCGAAATTATGCAACTGATAAGGTTATCTGCAACTACCAACAATTTTTAAAACGTTAGTTTGGGAGCCCATGTAGCATATGTTCATGGCAGATTCGACGGATATTAGAATAACGTGACAAAAGCGTGTAGAGAATTCTGCTATTACTACTTCTATGTTCTTAATACAGGGCGGCACATAATGAACGTTATGATTTGAAGTATTTGTATCGCTCCAATTACTGTTTATTGTTTAAGATACAGTTGGGAAATTTCATATGAAGCGATATATATATATATATATATATATATATATATATATATATATATATATATATATATATATATATATTTGCGAGTTTTTTTACAGCTATAGCCGTTTCTCGCTTCTCAATCGCCACAGTTTTCGATCCTCCCAGTGACCCTCCTGAAGATTTCTTATCCTTATGGCTTCTCTGACATAAGTTTTTCCAACTCCTGGGTGGTCGGCCGCGTTTCCTCTTCTCCAATTTCATATCTTTTTTGCCCATCTATCGTTGTTCATACGTTGTAAGTGACCATACCATATAAGTCTCTTGAGCTCGATAGTGTCGATAATATTCTCTTCTATTTCCATCCGTCTGACAAATATTAACTAGAGTGATTCTACTGGCCCTATACTGCGGTATTACGTTGACTTCACATATTCAGGTAGAATACGTTAGCCACTAGTTCTTGTTATTTTGTCGATGTAGACCGCGATTTCGTATGGTCCTCGGAAATAGCTATTTACCTAACAAGTGAGGTAAATACACGTTCCGCAAGTGTTAGGTACGTGTATAAGATTTTTTCTACTAGAGTGCGGAAAGTACTCACTTTCAACTCGCATCTACGCGCAGAAAGTAGCGTGCGGAAAAGTGCTACTTTCTGCACGTAAATGCGTGTTGAAAGTGAGTAGTTTCCGCACGCTGGTAGAAAAACATTATATTTGCGTGCTTGACTAAGAACAATGAAACGTATTTTTGCGCAATAGCAAATCCAATATCAAGTAAGATTACCTCAAGTACAAAATGCTTGTAAGCCACAATATATTTTTCACTTAATATGTGGGAAGTGCACACAACTTGAATATTATTGAAACTGGGTTACTTGCTCGTTAACAGCGTATTTGTAGGTAGATAACCGATGATTGCATGTCAATCGATTTATGAAGTTATTGTCAATTTATTGAACTAATTTCCTCTATAAACTTCCTTTGATAGATCGTTAGTTTTATCATTCTCGGTTAAAATACAATCGCAAAGCGTGGATCAGATATACTCGTAAACTAAGATACATTGTAAGGGCACTGTGGCGAAATTATGCAACTGATAAGGTTATCTGCAACTACCAACAATTTTAAAACGTTTAGTTTGGGAGCCCATGTAGCATATGTTCATGGCAGATTCGACGGATATTAGAATAACGTGACAAAAGCGTGTAGAGAATTCTGCTATTACTACTTCTATGTTCTTAATACAGGGCGGCACATAATGAACGTTATGATTTGAAGTATTTGTATCGCTCCAATTACTGTTTATTGTTTAAGATACAGTTGGGAAATTTCATATGAAGCGATATATATATATATATATATATATATATATATTTGCGAGTTTTTTTACAGCTATAGCCGTTTCTCGCTTCTCAATCGCCACAGTTTTCGATCCTCCCAGTGACCCTCCTGAAGATTTCTTATCCTTATGGCTTCTCTGACATAAGTTTTTCCAACTCCTGGGTGGTCGGCCGCGTTTCCTCTTCTCCAATTTCATATCTTTTTTGCCCATCTATCGTTGTTCATACGTTGTAAGTGACCATACCATATAAGTCTCTTGAGCTCGATAGTGTCGATAATATTCTCTTCTATTTCCATTTTCCCTCTTATCTCCTCGTTCCGAATATGGTCCAATCTTGAAATCCCCGCGCTAAGTCTCTAGTAATCCATTTCAAGGGATAACAGTCGATTTTTATCTTTATCTCTGATTTCCCATACCTCAGCTCCATACATACTAATGCTCTCTACAATAGTCTTATATATATATATAGATCTCTTCACTTTGTTATTAACTTTGTTACTCCAGAGGATCGGATTTAGTTACCTGATAACTCGTTTGCCTTGCTCTATTTTATTGACTATGTCATCTAAACTGTTCCCAATTGCCGATAGAGTTACACATAGGTATTTAAAACAGGAAGAATGTTGATAGTAAAATTCCCAGCATCTAAGTCATGCCGATCGTCAGTGCCAACTGTCATATATTCCGTCTTTTGGTGTTGATTTTAAACCTCAATTGCTATATTCGTCAAAAAGCTTCCTCAGCATGTAGCTACAGTCGTCAGTATCTTCGGCGATTAACACTTGATCATCAGCAAACAGAAGGGAGTACAGTTTGTCAGTAACTTAGTACTTTCGATAGCGGGCCTCAGACTTACGATCAGTCAATTGGTTTTTGAAAGCTCTGTATGTACCTGCTTTATTTGCCATTTTGGATTTTGATGATCTTTTCGAATCCGTGCTTTCACGACTTGCTCTGGATCTATCTACTTTCGATCGTGCTTTGGACCCTGCTTGGACAGCACCGTCAATCATCTCAGAGATCATATCATGTGCTGATTTGTACTCATCGTCTTCCGCTTTAGTTCGTTGCGATTTATCTTGATCTGTAACCACCAATAATTATTTTAATAATACCAAAGTTCCGAGGTCATGTCTAACGTTATGAACAGAATCGGTTCTTTCTAATAAATTCGAACAGATTAGATTATTATTATATTAGACGGAGACATTGGGCTTATTGATAACGACAGATACCTTCGTTATGTGTTAAAAATATCAATACACCCGAATATATTAAAAATGACTAATCATGAGAAGATATTTTGGGGAAACAATCGGAATGCAGTTTCTAACCTCCTACTTCCGATACACATGGAGAGGGGGTCGGAACGGAAAGATAATGCGTCGACAGATGACATGTGATTGACGCGACGGAACGTGGAACTGTAAACCTCATTGTCAAATTTGGGTATGAAGTATACGAGGGACGCTCGGTAAACCTCCACCCAAATTACTAAAATGCTGAATTAATTTGTTTTGGAAAAGTGTGTAGTTTATATGAGTGTACGAATGTGAGATAGTGATACACACTTGAAAAGATGAGTTATGTGAATTTATATTAAAGATTGTGTGTGAGAATTAACAGGATAGCAATTGGAAATGTATTCTAATTTTGGGACGACGTTGGATCGATTTGGATATGTAGCCGTTCTAGCTTTTCGCAATTAAACAGGTAGGAATAAATGAGACTAAGCTGCTTAACATCAGCCTTTTTATTCATGCAATGATATATTATATATATATATATATATATATATATACAGGGTGACTTTGAAGTTGAGTCATTAATTTTCAGATAATGATTGTAGAAGGAAGATAAACCAAAATATGTGTGTAAAAATAAAAAAAAAATGTTACCTTGTTTTATAAAGTATCCTCCCGACAAGTATTTCAGTGCGGACCTGGATTTGATCGTGCGGTCTTGGAACACCTGTGAGGTCTTAAGTCACCTGATTCACGAGCCCTTTGTACTACATTAACAAAGGCACGAGGGGTTGGTTGCACTCGATTGGGAAACCGATCCGCATAAATCCGTGATGCCGCGTAAATAAGAATCATGTCCACAAGTTCAGCATTTTCGTAAACATGTGCCATTTTTGATTTCGTTTGAGCCACGCAACAGAGACCACTATTCACTCACGCGTTACCGACTGACACTGACTGAATACAACTGAATAAAATAATTGTACAAACATCGTTCCAAATTCTTTCGCTTTTTTGTTTCCGATGCGATGAACCGATAAGGCGGATTATATCCGTTGTTGCCAAACACGAGCACAATATTATTATTGAGACAGGGCGGTACTCAAACTTCCAAAGGGTTATAACTTTGTTACTTTAATTTTACCAGAAAAATGGTAAAGGAAAAAAACATTTCTTTTGATCAGACCTACTCACTGTTAAAATAAAAGACTCAACTTCGAAGTCACCCTGTATATATATATATATATATATATATATATATATGAAGCGATATACCACGGATTAAAAAACTCAAAATGAAAGTATTTGTTTCGTCTCTAGGCGCTTATTATAAATCTACTTTGAAAAGGTTAGTTTCCCATATATGGCGCTGTAGCCAACTATATGCTATATGCTGATATAAATGGCTACAATGCCAATAATGAGACACCACAGTGAGACGTCCATAGACATGTATGTATGTGCATACCCAGCAGAAAAGAAACCTATTGTTGGTTCCCATCTTTGTTTTTCTTGCCACATAAGTCTTATCCTTTTTCCCCACCTACATGCTAGGCAAAATTTTCAGCCGTGCGCCTCTCACCGAGGTCACTATCAGTTGTTTCTGGCAGTCAACCCATCAACTGCATCTTATAGAGTAAATCAATAGGAGGGATTCCAGCAACCCCCGTCGACACCGCGCAGATCACATGTAGTACCGCCTTCCGCTGGCACTTGAACATCAGTTTGACGACCTAGCCTGACCGACTTATAGTATGCATTAGCATCATAATTACTGACTAGGTAATTTTGGTTCAAAGCAAATAGCATGCTAGCCCCGTCTTTTTTGACCGAATTGGTTAAGCCGGCTAGAATTACAACTCAAAGTCCAGTGCCACACGATAAAACTACCAAAAAGTCGTAGTTCTAGCTGGCTATAACCATATAATATAATACCACCGCTGGGTTCCCAGATAACAACACCATAGAATGTAAATTAGATAACACTTCTCAAAATGATAGAAATCTCGGAAATACTCACTCAGAATTACTCCGAATTCATCCATTTCGGTTACACTCAATCACACTACTACAGAATGTTAGTCTCTGAATCAACAGCAGTTGTAAAAGAATAAGAACAAATCATAATTGGAACGATCTCGTTTCAATTAATAGTAATTGGTAATTGTCTGGGCCTTCAAAGATGTCGCCAAATGTTAGCCATGCGATTAACGTTTTACAGAGAGTTCACCTATTTTATTTGCTCAGTGTAATGAAGCACACTCGAAGTCAGAACCCATATGCCCGGGTACCACAACTGCTATCAATAAGCAAGAGCAGAGCATACCATGCTCTCCTCCACTTATTTTTTGAACGGATCAAGTTAGCAAGTTGAAATTTGAGATATCTTGGAATGAAATGAGAAGTCATGCGAAGCTCCTTCACTTAAGCTGTATCTCCCACAAGTATTGAGATCCCTTTTCAAACTATATTAAGTGTGTTCCAAATACAGGGATCACGGCTCCTGTTATACCTACGGCAAAGGTTACATGAGGACAGTTTTAGAGGTAACTTAGTACTTTCGATAGCGGGCCTCAGACTTACGATCAGTCAATTGGTTTTGAAAATATCAGCGAAAAACCTAAAATGGCAGAATTTGTTTTTTGCCAATAAATCCAAAACGGTTAATTTGGCAGCTCTCAAATGTGACATTATTCGGACATTTTTTTAAGAAAAATAAGATAACATGTATGACATGTCTCAATTGTCTTTTATTTTCCAGCAAGCCGCCTCAACTTATTATTTTTGTTTTTGCCGCCATATTGGGTTTTTTTGACTTTTGAAAAGATTGTAAAATTTCCAGTCTAGTGATATCTTACAAGTGCATAAAAGATTGGAGTATCACCGAAATATCATCACACGTAATGATATGTAGTTTTTTTCTAAGGAGGTCATGATTTATTTGTCAGAAAATAACATTAATGAAAGATGCATAAAAACACGTAAACGCCTTGGATATTCAATAGAATATTAACGTTAATATAGACTCAGCAAGTCAAATGTTTTGGGACAAATTCCCAACTATGAGTGTGCTAAAAAAACAAGTCAGAAAAATCATCGTAAATTTATTTTACATCTGAACAAACATTTTACAAAATTGTAATGTAAGGTCTAATTAAGTAAGTGGGTATTAATTTACAGATTTGCAATATATATATATATATATATACAGGGTGACTTCGAAGTTGAGTCATTTATTTTAACACTGAGTAGATCTCATCAAAAGAAATGTTTTTTTCCTTGGAAGTTTGAGTACCGCCCTGTCTCAATAATAATATTATGTGAGCGTGTTTGTCAACAACGGATATAATCCACCTTATCGGTTCATCGCATCGGAAACAAAAAAGCGAAAGAATTTGGAACGATGTTTTTACAATTATTTTATTCCGTTGTATACAGTCAGTGTCAGTCGGTAACGCGTGCGTGAATAGTGGTGTCTGTTGCGTGGCTCAAACGAAATCAAAAATGGCACATATTTATGCGGATCGGTTTCCCAATCGAGTGCAACCAACCCCTCGTGCCTTTGTTAATGTAGTACAACGGGCTCGTGAATCAGGTGACTTAAGACCTCACAGGCGACGGCATGCCGGTGCTCCAAGACCTCACGATCAAATACAGGTCCGCACTGAAATACTTGTCGGGAGGATACTTTATAAAACAAGGTAAATTTTTTTTTTAATTTTTGTTTTATTTTTACACACATATTTTGGTTTATCTTCCTTCTACAATCATTATCTGAAAATTAATGACTCAACTTTAAAGTCACCCTGTATAGGGTTGGCCATATGCGACGAAAAGATGTGGCAACACTGTAACTTTTGACAGAGATGACAGATCGAGTAATGACGTAGCGCATTTGAAGCATCAGCCCAAGGAGATTTTTGCTATGGAGCGGTACACTCCACGCGAACGCTCTCAGATTGTTGAAGTTTACATTCAACAAAACAAGTCAATTGTGAAAACTCAACGTGCATGGAGAAAAATAAATAAAGTGAAAACTGCGCCTTCCGCGACTACAATGTATCGTTTGTATGAAAGATTTTCATCAGGTGTGGCACTTACTAATCTCAAACGTCCAAATAAAAAGCGACCAAGGCGATCGGTTGAAAATATTGCACTCGTACGGACCAGTATTCAGAGGTCTCCAACAACATCTCAAACACGTCGATCTGAGCAGTTGGGCATAAAACGAACCACTTTACGTCGCATATTGCGTCATGATTTGCACTTGTTCCCATGCAAAATTCATCTGACGCAAAACCTGTTACCTCCGATAAGCCACGTCGATTGGAATGGGCCTAAAGAGTCATCGAAATGGCTGAAAGGAACGATCATTTTTGGCAAAAAATCATCATGAGCGATGAATCTCATTTCATGTTAACCGGAGCCGTAAACAAACAAAATTGTCGGTTCTATAGTAGGTACTGAAAATTCTCAAACTATTCACGAGGTACCTCTTTGTGACCAAAAAGTGACTGTTTGGTGCGGTATTTGTGCTGGTATGGTCATTGGGCCGATCTTTTTCGAAGATGAAGCTGGCAAAGCGGTTACCGCCAATCAGGAGCGTTACCGCGATATGGTAACCGATTTTTTGATGCCAATTGTTCGTGACAATGGTATGGAGCATTTCTGGTTTCAACAAGATGGCGCTCCACCACACATAGTTCGAGCTACTATTGATTTTTTGAAACGATTGTTCCCTGGACCTGTGAAGTCGAAAAATGGTGATTTTGACTGACCACCGCGTTCACCAGATTTAACGGCTCCAGACTTCTTTTTGTGGGGCTACTTGAAATCGAAGGTTTATGTCAACAAGCCGAGGATCCTAGATGCACTTAAGGCCAACATCCGACAGGAAACAGCCGCCACATCAACCGAAACATTGGCCAAAACGATGGAAAATGCTGCATCACGGGCACTTTTTGCTGTACAGGCTCATGGCGGTCATTTGAGAAATATCGTTTTCAAAAATGGTGTTCACAAATCTTCTTGAACCCAAATACACGATTTTTGAAATGAACTGTAAAAAATGTGTTTTTTCCTAGAATTTAAAAAAAAACATCTTTTTGTCGAATATGGCCAACCCAATATATATATATATATATATATATATATATGTATACAGGGTGACTTTGAAGTTGAGTCATTAATTTTCAGATAATGATTGTAGAAGGAAGATAAACCAAAATATGTGTGTGAAAATAAAAAAAAAATGTTACCTTGTTTTATAAAGTATTTTAGTGCGGACCTGTATTTGATCGTGCGGTCTTAGAGCACCGGCATGCTCTCCCCTGTGAGGTCTTAAGTCACCTGATTCATGAGCCCTTTGTACTACATTAACAAAGCCACGAGGGGTTGGTTGCACTCGATTGGGAAACCGATCCGCATAAATCCGTGATGCCGCGGCAGCATTTTGTAAAGACTACCCCCCGGAAATTAGAATCATGTCCACAAGTTTAGCATTTTCGTAAACATGTGCCATTTTTTATTTCGTTTGAGCCACGCAACAAACACCACTATTCACTCACGCGTTACCGACTGACACATTGACTGAATACTACTGAATAAAATTGTAGTAAAAACATCGTGATAAGCGTTTCAAATTCTTTCGCTTTTTTGTTTCCGATGCGATGAACCGATAAGGCGGATTATATCCGTTGTTGCCAAACACGAGCACATAATATTATTATTGAGACCGGGCGGTACTCAAACTTCTAAAGGGCTATAACTTTGTTACTTTAATTTTACCAGAAAAATGTTAAAGGAAATTAATGACTCAACTTCGAAGTCCCCTGTATATAATATTTTTGACATTTTCAATATTATATCCACTCCTAGGTTGTTCGAAGGCACCATGGTTTATTAAGGTTTATTAAGTTAACTACTATTTTTCTAAATTGGGTTTTATGAGACTGCCGTCGTTCAGGGTACATCTCCAAGTACCTTGCCGAGGTCATGTCGACGTTTCTGTGTGACTGCAAGTACAGCGCTAATATGTCACACTTTTCTTCATTTAAGTGAGGAATACCGACCATTGTCAACAGGTTTTGACATTTTTTTTGTCAGATTTATGATTTTCATAAGAGAAGAAAAATGCGTTACTTATTAATTTTATTTTCTGAGAAATAAATCATGACCTCCTTAGAAAAAAATTAATACATAACATTACGTGTGATGATATTTCGATGATACTTCAACCTTTCATGCACTTGTGAGACATCACTCTAGACTGGAAATTTTACGATCTCTTCAAACATCGAAAAATCCAATATGGCGGCCATAAGAAAAATTAAAGTTGAGGCAGGTTGCGGGAAAACGAAAAACGATTGAGACATGTCATCCACTCTATCTTATTTGCCTTAAAAGATGTCCGAATAATGTGACATTTTGACAGCTGTGTCAAATTAACCGTTTCGGATTTACTGGCAAAGAACAAAATTCGACATTTTCGGTTTTTTCGCCGATATTTCCAAAATCAATTGACCCATCGTAAATCTGAAGCCGGTTATCGAATGCACTAAGTTTCCTCTAAAACCTTCCTCATTTAACCTTTACTGTAGGTATAACAGGAGCCGAGATCCCTGTATAGAGAAGCGAATCTGGTACACACTGTATAGTAAATAGAGAAATATCTCTGGCAAGTTCGCAATGATGACGCATGGATCTACGGTATCTCATTTCATCTGGAACAGTTTTTCGGACGCGATAATATAGCATTATATCGGCTATCCTCAGGTAAAATACGTTAATCACTGACTTTAGTATAATTATATAGACATCTTACGGAAAAATTAACATTGGATTGGACGAAATGCTTAATTCAGAGTGTTCTAAAACAAACTTTGTTGAAAAAGGTTGTTATCACTAGAAATGGTAGGAGATTAACTCAATGCAAGTCAATTTTTTATAAAAAAAATTAAATGCTGAGAATTTCGAAAACTTTACGACTTTCAAAAACAAAATTTTGCCATGTTTTGTCATAACGTGACCTATTTGCAGCTGCAGAACCATCATTTATTTGCGGGACACCCTGTATATATTTTGAAGAGGGGAATCGCGTTCGTTGCGATACATACGAAATTCAGATTTCGGATGCATGTACTGTGTCAGTCTTCTTTATACATTTTTTGGAAAATACACAAACTTGTCTCTCATATATTGGACTTAGATGAATTAAAATCCTACTTACAAGTTTCCAGAAGCAGTTTCTAATGATGCTGCTGCTGCCCTTATCTAACCCACTAAAACAAAAGTGTTTCACTCGTTTCATTGCAACTTATTGATGAATTGAGAAAATTAGTTTAAACTGGTTCTTACTGTGGATTGCATGTGTTGATAATATCTTATTGCATGGCTTACCTTTATTGTTTTATCTCGGTACTTCACAATTGATGTTATTAATAAGACCATAATGCTATGTTAGATATAACTGTAAAACGTTTGTTGACTAACATATCGAGATTAAAGAACACGTGTGAGATCTTTAAAAGCTTTCAACTTTAAGGCACAGATCCAAAGTCTTGTTCTTGTTCCGGATAGAATGGACCAATACGAAGGTGTCTTTGTAGTAATGGATCAAATATATTCGATCTCTTTTACAATACACGATTTGTGAAAGCAGGGCTTCTAACCTCCATATTAAATAAAAATTCTTGATAAATCACCTGGTTTAGCTACAAAAACTGGATCAAAAAATGACCAATCGTAAACAAGTAATAAGTCCACCTTGTGATGATAGATCCACATTCAAAATAAACATAAACACTTGAGAAAATTGACAAAAATGACATATCACTTGGCGATTAAGTGTAGATTTCAACTCAAACTCAAACTCCTTTAGTATCCCTCTATTATCACATGTTTCGGCTGCTGCACCTAATCCGCATGTCGTTCTTCAACATAAAGTCTGCAAAACATAAAATGGAAACCCTTCTTTCTAGTGCCTCTTGGTCGTCTAGAGTATACGAATAATAACGATATTTGGATAAGCATTTCAAGTTTTTACATTTTGTAATACAAGAATAATTATAATAAATAATAACCAATGCAGGTCAATGACGTTAAAGCTGAATTTGCCCTAATACAGACCCGTTTTATTTTATTTTTATTTGATCCACGATTCGCGAGGGATCTCCTCCGATTGGCCAATTTTTGAACGAGTTTTACTAAAACGATTTCTATTTGGACATTGTTGATCCGGATCATAAATATTTATATCCGGATCAAGTGGGAACATATGTTTTTGTACCTAAACCAGGTGATTTATAAAAAACGTCTTGATTTAATTTGGGGATTAGAGGTCCTTCTTAGACAAACAGTATATTTTTTTGCTGGTATGATATTTAGAAAAAATCGACAATATTTATAAGATCCATTTCTAGAAAGATGGCATCGCATTGGTCCACTTTGATCCGGATCAAGAATTTTGATTTCCTGTTTTAATTAAAAAACGATATATTCTAGTAAAAATAGAATTAACTAACATCGTATCCTTTTACAGCCAATGCTTTAGTGATTCTTAACCAGCTATCGCATCGTAGGATCATAATTGACCGACACGGGTATTACGTATCTTGAAAAGTGACATTATGTCGATTTTTTTGACAATGGTTTCTTTGTGACATTATGTAGATATTTCCACAAGATGATGGACACGTTTGACATTGCGTGGGCTTTTCTACAAGATGTAAGCTTAACACAAGCTGTCAATTGTTGTGAACTCGTTTTGTAGTTGTACGTGTTGCCTCAACGTCTTGATGCTTCAGTTATCAATACTTGGCTCTGATGTGCTGTAAAATCTGCTTCAGAGATGGCGTTACTGGAGGTCTAAGCTATAAGTTGTATAATGTATACTATAGCTAGAAGGAAACTGCAATACCTAGGTGCTTAGTGAGTATTTGTGTGTTAATAATATATGTTGATGATAATTCTATTGGATTCCTGTCTCAAATACACTTACTTGAGATTCAAAGCTAGAAATTAGTTGCATATCCACTATATCTTATTCATTCTGGACAGGTGCGAAAGTATGCTGCTGCAGACAGGAATATTTATGAAAGTGTTATTACATTATTTTTTATTTGAAGTCATTCAAATTTTATAGAGGTTTATTTTGCGATGCCAATAGAAAACACAAATCAGCGTCTAGATGTGAGGCATTGCAAAACTCTTTGATATGTGATGCGTCAATACTAATTTTTCTATGATGTGGCTTAATTGCACACAACGCACGCACGGTGGCGATTTCCCGTATGCTTCTAAAAGTTTTTGAAAATACAAAAAACTGGAAAAATCGTAATTTAAAACTTTGAACATAACCTCCTTTCAGAAAGGACAACATATAAATAACCTGTCGGGCACAGCTAATATGCCAGCATATCCAGTAATGATTTTCTCACACAGCAAATATCACTGATTTTATACGCATGCAGACCATACCATACATATAATCATCCAGATGCAATCTTGCTACTCAACCAACTTTCTTCTCAGAGATGACAGCTACAGACTACTGGGCTTCACAAAACGTATGTAACCAACAATGGGGGTAGTTGAGTCATTTCTCCATAGATGGACGCTCACAGCGGTCATAGCGAGCAAACGTGGAATGAACTATTTGCACCTTGCAAGAAGACATTTTATTGTTTTTTTGACGTTTTTACATAATACCCGTGCCGTTCCCTTTCTCGTCCCGCACCCAACACTGCTTCTGTCTTAGATTCAAAAACTTTCCTGCACGATAAATCATATTCGCATCTTTGTGAGTGATAGCACCTCTGAGGTAAAGCTGCGAAAAAGAATATGATACTGACTGCGGGCCAAATTCCTAATGGCAATAATTTTGTTTAGTGGAATGGCCCTTAGTTATAGAGCAAAAAATGACAAGATAGGTGACCAAGGGCATATCTGATTGTGATGGATGTACGAGCATTGTCAAGAAGCTACTTACTTCAGCTTGTCGGAGTTCAAATTACCGAAGGCGTGATTTGGCACACACACGTTTTGTCAATTATGACAGCTGTTTGAGAGGGAACTGGGATATCTGTTCAGAGCTAGAAAGACAATAGTTCATCATTGAGATTTGAGCAAAATATTACAACTAAAATAATCACTGAAAACATTTATTATATAAAAAATATTTACACTAAGCACTAAGTTTAAATAAAATTATAAATATCTATCACAACGTCACGAAAATCCATACTTCACAACCTTTGACGATCCATACTGTACATCAAAAGTATGGCTGCCGCCGGCCTGATGTACGATAACAACAAAGTATGAGCATTTCACGTATTTAAATATATAATATAATCAATGACATAATTATTGCATTGCCCTAATAATACTGCTTAGTCGTCAAGGACTCAGTAACTATTAAGTACAATAACGCTATTAAGTACCTTCTTTAACTTCTACTCCAACGTAAAGCATTTATTTAAACAACAAACGAATCTAACAATAATCAACCAGTACATTTGTCTTTTCTTTTGTAAAGCTTCAAGAGTATGCTTACAGAAAGCGATATGCGATATAAAGCTAAACTGCCATTTCTAAGCTCGGTCAAAATCCAAGATAGAGAGAAACCATCAATTATTCCTGGGGATAGAAAACAATGTACTGTACTCCGGAGACCATGAAAGGGTCTGGTAGACTCTATCGCCTAATATAAGGCAGTAGCAGAGCACAAAAATAAATTAAGAAATTCACTTGGGAAAGACTTGTGGTTGGTTTTGCTACAGACTCATAGATGACATTAGGACTCTCAATACATCCTTGGCTTTTCTAGTAGCTATTTTAATAGGGTATCTTCGGCTGGAATACGTTAATCAATAGTAAAACATAACAAATACGTTTACCTGATCGCTCAGCAACAGGACGACACTCATTGCTGAATCCGATACAGATCGTGTGGCCTGTTGTCGACCAGTACAGAGTAGATTATCTCTTTATCTTGGCTTAGGATGGATTGTAGGCACTCAAAAAAATAGGCTTTATTGTCATTCCGATAAAAGAGAGTATTCCAAACCAAGGCATTTTCAAGAACCTACACGATAGAACTCTGATTTTGAATGTAAAATACATCACATAGTTTGTACTAACCATTTAAGGGCTTGCAATTTGTCTTAAAAGAATTTACTATAGAATCGCTGTTAAGATAAGGCTTTTTCCATGCTATTTGTACACAGTTAGCATTGCACTGTTATAATGTGTGTTTGCTACATAATTCAAATATCAGTAATAGATCAGAGGACATTATTGTCGATCATGATGATGCTCAGTCCTACCATGCATTACTAGACACTGGCTTGGAATCATTTTAAAAAAATGAGGATTCCTAGAATTTTGTATCTTGTTTGTCAACAGCCTCGGAATATGATATAGGACCGTCTTCTTTTTGTTATCTGGATTTTCTTCACTATGTTTTATTCCGTAGAAAAAGTATATCAGGAAACCTGGAATATAAATGCAAAGTGACGAATTTTTCGATACCACCACAAAAAATCTGTAAAAGTCAATACCATTTAGTGTTTTCGAATCTTTAAAGTAAGAATTGTTAACTCACCTAAGAATAACCATATTGAAAACCTTATCCAAGTATGTAGGTCTAACTCCAGCATTAGATATACGTTGAATAGTACGCTTAGGCAAGGTATAAGTGGCACTAGGGGTACCTGCAAAAGAAATATCTCCGTTTCTTGGATTGCGTGTCTAATGTAATGGATTTAATTTGTCATACGATATTGCTTGTGATGCGTTCTGATGAAGAAAAAAACGTTTCTATAAGGAGAACAGACTTCTGTATGGCCTGAATTTGTTTGCGTTGTATTTTGTGCTAATTATAGCGCAGGCACAACCTTCACTTAAAGTGGGCATCTTTTGGTGGATTAGTTTAGTCAATGCTTTGAGTGAATTAATAAGATAAAAATAAAGACGTTCCAATCTATAGGCCATTTATCGGACCCTTCTGCGCCTCTGTGAATGTTTGGCCACAGGGTACGTCATTCTAGCATACGTGGACTATGGCCTTGAGTTGCATCTTTCTCTGATTTTGTAGTGAAATACACCATTATTTGTCAATTTTTGGTGGATTTACCTTGAAAGTAAGTTTTTCGTCCACCGTGGGTTGCCTGCCAATAACTACCAGAGTTGTGAGCATAGCAATCGCAGCTATCACTAAAGCTAGTACGAAGAATGGTTCCGATAATAAGTCTTTGCCATTGATGAATACTACGCAGAATAGTACCGTGAAAATACCTAAAAAGAAGGATAATGTCACAATCAGAATATTTTTTTATTCTAGATCCCTTTTACTGGTACTTACTATAAAGAGATATACTCCAAGTGACTACACCAGAAGTTTCAACTGAGGGGTATTTATTGTTGTTCAAATTAAATATAAACTTGAACTTATGGTATATGGATTCTTCTACAGTTTCTTCCATTTTTGTCATTGTTATGTCAGGATAAGTAGCCTTGGTTTCATCTACCTGATACCTAGAAAGGATTATATATATTAGTTATAGGTCTAAGTGATTTAAAATATGTATTTTTACGACTAGACTGTATCTAAAATGTTTTTGAGAAAATAAATTGTTTTAGAAGTAAATAGTTTCGTCATGTTTAGTTTATAAAGGCATATTTTGGTACAAATTTTGAAGTGGGCCAACTGAAGTCGGAAGGGGCTCGTAGGTATGTTTCTTTTCAGGTATCCCTCATATAAAGTCAATCTGCTTGATGGTACAAGTGTAACAATAGTAACCGTAAGGTATTTTTGAAAAAGGGTCAAGATCAGGTGACCAACTTTGAATAATTCCCTTTTTACATTGAAAATAAGACACGAATTACTTCATGACTTGAGTTCATGGCCAAATTTCAAAGTAGTAAACAGGAATTTGACGTCAAATAAGTCCATGAAGTGCAAGAACTTTTTCTAATTTTTGTCAAGTTGGACGTCAAATTCCATGGTACCAATCTTGTTTCGCTTCCCATTATATTGATCAAATTTCAATTCAAGAATAGAAATTTGATTCCGGTTTTATGAGATTTGCCTCAAAATCAAAATCGCAACAGATATAAACGCTTCTGGAAAGAATTTGTTGTGCGGTTGGCAGCACTGAGTACTGAAAGATAATCCATGAATTTATCCATTGTTGTAAACACCGCAACACATAATCAAAATGACATTGAAGGCATCCATCTGAACAAATTCGTGAAGAAATTGATGATATGAAATAACGAGTTCAGTAGTTGGCTTTGACCCTGAGCCTCACCTGTTCCAAGGTCAGTTTTTCTTTTTTACGCCCGGATATGTCGTTACATCTCAGGTCAGGGTCACCTCTAAAGGTCACATACGAGTATGTGAGGCTACCGAGAATTTCCAGATGTTTAGCAGGGATATTGATGAAAAAAGCTATCAAGAACAGTTATTCAATATCTTATAACAAAGATTGCGGTGGTGACCTTGGATTCAATCTTGAGCCTCACCTTTGGAGTGATTCCAATGTCAAATTTTCTTTTAACACGATACACCCCTTTCAGTAGCCGGTGATGGAAAGCATTACGTAGCTACTTATAAGTTCTCATGTAGTATTATGACCCTGAGGATCAGGCTCAAGGTCAAAGCCAAGGTCAATACTTAGGACCTTGTTCAAATTTTCAAATTTACTAGAGATTTGACCTTAAATTTTCATCAATAATCCTGCAAAAAATTTATGAATTTCCCTAGCCTTACATGCTTGATCTTCGTTTGACCTTTGGGCGTGAGTTTCGGTGTCAAAAATGGATCTTTCTGTTTAAAAAACAAAAACTGACCTTGAAATCCACCATTGAATTCCTTGTTAGTGAGTAACTGGCCTTGGCCTTTTTAAAAATTGTTCACCTGATAAAGTAAAATACGGAGCAGTTCTTTAACTTACCATCACACCTATCCTACATTTTTCTCACAACCCCAATGACTTACCTCATAATCAAAACAGATACAGCTACAATTGTGTAAGCCAATAGGGTTCCAATAGACATCATGTCAATAAGCTGGTCAAGGTTGAAAAGGACTGCCATTATACCTAGAAAGAAAGATAGAGTTGCAGTTATATTGAGTCGAATATTGACATGTCTATGTTATAGTCAAGTCCAAAACACGGATGGCCGGTTGAAGTTCTGGACAAAGTTAAGACTACCCAATCAAAGCACCAAGTTGCTTGTTCCATCAGACTATGACTGGGGTTTGCCCAGAAAGTCGAAGTCTAGAATATTTCATCAGAATTAGAGCACATAGTTACTTTACGATTTAAGAATCACTCAAGTGTTTGACTGATGTATGCCAGTTCTGACGATGAAATAACAATAAATTAACAAAGGGTAATAAAACGGACAATCTGCTTTATGAACAGACGCAGCTCAGTCAAAACTATTTATTGTCTATGATTAGGAGTAGTCACATATTGGAAACCCGAGAAGTGCAGAAAAATCTAGAACGCTATCCCTAAAGTTTTGTAATCACCTCGTATTGAATAATAATCAATGCTGAAAAAAGTTAATAGTTAATAGAGGGATAATTCTATGATAGTTAATACGTCTAATACGTCACCCCAAATAGGAGCTTTAAAGTACGTGAGAGATGTGTCTTCAGGTTTTTATAAAACATAAGTAGGTACTTTCATTCAAGGAAATACACGGTAATATTGTAACCTGACAAACTCACGTAACTTGTCTTTACAATGTTGGTCACTTAACAGTAATTTGAATTTCTCTTTATAATTGATAGAGTACCGATTCATAGGCCAAACCTTTTCAATTATTTTCTTTTGGAAAATTTTAGAATTTATTGATCTACTGAGCTCGAAACTACCTAATCTTGAACATATTATATCTTTCTTCCTTAAAACGACTCAGTATTGTGTTCGTGTCTTTTGGACACTGACGAGTGTTGTTATAATATTTTATTAACGACCAGCTCAGAAATTTCCTGATAAAATATCGTTGGTCCCTGTTGACTGTTTTACCCAAGACATTCTTTTGGGAAATAACACGGTCTGTTATGTGATGTTGCGTATATACGTTCAGTTGCGACCTTTTCATCCCTGAACGCCTGTCAGGTTTTTTGGATTGTTTTGTTTTCCTTGGGCGAAACTCTGTTTCGTTAAGTCTAGGTAGAATATTAGACAGGTTGGTTTAAGACTCCGAATTTCTCATTCATTATTATTACTTTTTTGGCATCGAGTCAGTGGAGTACAAAATTTTGGAACGGCTTTCTACTTTCGACATTGATTGACAGTCAACTGACTGACTGATGGAAGGCCGGAAGTCTGGAGACCGTCATTTTTCTTTTCTGTTGAGGCTTCGGTTGTGCGTAGGTCGTACGTTTGATTTCCAGATTCTGGTATATTCGACCCCAATCACCAGTTTGTGGAGGAGCACCTTTTTATGTAGCTATCTTACGTTCACTTCTTTGTTTTGGTTTGGGTGCTACTCTGTCCATTTTTATGGGATTTTAACCTATTCAGCGGTAAGTTCTTTTGTATACCATCTGACCACGTGCATTAATGCATGGCCAGAAGAAGTTTGTTCAACACCTGCTTCCTTTTAGTGGGAAGGCATTGAGGAAAACCACCATCTGCACTTCCCCAGCTTTGTAGCTGTCTTGTAACTGTCTTGTGGCCGATTTCATTGAGAAACCGCCCCCCTCTCTTAAGAAAACAACCCTGATGTGAACAGGTGAAATATCATTTTCAACTAACTCTTTGATAGATATTTATATATTGACTATTGTTGACTGAAATATCTAGAGTGTACTTGATTTTGTTTGGCATTTTTAGAGTTCAAATGTGGGGCAGCTCCTATTGAGCTTACTCCATTGCATTGATCACGATTTTAATTTTTTAGCTACCATAGCTTTATTAGAACAAGGGATTTTGAAGGTGTACTATCTTAGTAATTTTTTTGCCTTTCCTTTAAATTTCTTGTAAAAACGTATATGGTTTTTCAAGATCGAGTGTTTTAATGAATAGTTTTGTCTCACAAAGATAAGAGAGTCTTTCTCTCCCTCTAGGTTTTTTTTACCGTAAATTTTGAAAACGAGGCAGGCAGCCCCTACCTTGTGAAGTGCATTGCCAAGACAACAACCAGCTATAAAAAACTACAGAAAAAAACATAACGGAAAGATTTTTTTTAAATATACGTACATAGAAAACGCTGATAGTTCCACAGGTTAAACATCTATCGATTTTTACCTCCTCCTCGAACCTTTTCTAGCTACTGAAAATAGCTTCATTAGACTTGTATTTAATAGAAATATATGTACAAAAATGGAATACTTCAAGAGAAGAAGCCACTAGCAGGCTCAACTTGATGTGTACAGGTCAGCCCACTTGTGGCTTTCTGCTCAAGAGGTAATTTGATGGTCGTAGCACGCTGGTTGAACCTCAAAATTTGTATATTTAGCATGACTTGGTGTATAGTTTTGGAGATTTTTAGGATTCGATAATGATTATCAAATAGTTACTTTCCAATTATCGTTAAATTATCAGCATTTACATGCAGTATTGATTTTATTAATCAAAGGTGTACTTTAGGGATGACGCACAAGATTTTCCCGCACCTTTTGAGTATCCAATAAATATTTTTGACTACTTTTAATTGAAAACAACTGTTTTCACTGATTCGCGTTGGTTTCCTGAGGAGCAGAGAAATGCTAATTCCTCAGACCTGCGATGGCTTTGCCTTTAAAAAGCGAATTAGCAAATTGTGTTTGTATTAGGTACTGAGCTACAAAATAAATAATAATACTCCATCACGTACATTTTTGAGAAACCTTTTTTTACGTTTTACCAGTGTTATATAAACTGGCTCTATAGGCTCACAAGGTGCAAGGCTTAACTCTTAACTAATAGTTCTTCGTCATCATTCTCCAACCATTGCTTTTCTTTCCAAGTCACACATAAATATGGTTAATCTCCTCAGGTCCTCTTTCACTGTCACCTCATCCTTCTTAGTATTACCGTCGGTTATTAATGAGGAAGTTTCCTATTTTTAGAAACACACTTAATATGATAGTCTGAACTGAAATACAGCACTGGAAAAATCTCAAAAAATGACAAAGTTATGCTATCCAAAAGTTGCTTATTTGGAAAACTAACTTGTTGGAGTGTGAGACTGAGTGATGACGTCACATGACACCAGCTACCATTGCTACCACAAAGCGATGCGCCTACCGCGCATCTTGCTCGACTCCGTATTCACAATTTATAGCAAGAATTAGACCGTGCCTAGATGTGTAAATACAGGGTTCGTTTAGAGTAAGCTCGACTTAATATTGTTATTATTAGGTGGATACTAAAACTATTTCTGTCGTTCAAGCAAAAAATTATTTCGATAAAAAACCGGCCAAATAGACTCTAGGATGCAAATATCAAAAAAGGCATTTTTGTTCCTCCTTTCATATGATGGTAATACCAAACGCTATCAGACGAAGAACAAGTAGTAGAAACAAGTAACTTTAGCCTAGGTATTCGACTATTACCGGCTGTTGTCTTTCTATGAAAATTGTGCAGCTCCAAAGTACGCATGTCTTCAATAAAATTAAAGCTCTACGTGCTGGAAAAGAAACAAAGCTGTATCGTGACTTCACAAACATAGCTGAACTTTAAAAAAAATACAATTATTAGTAGGGGTAAATAGACCCATAAGTTTGTTGCCTGTGTTATCAAAAATACTGGAAAAAGCAGTTCAGTTTCAAGTAGAGTCTTTTATTGAATATAATGGCATCATTCCTTTAAATTAATCTGGATTTAGGAAATATCACAGCACAACCTCTACATTATTAAATCTGTGCGACAACGTTATAAGAGCTATGGACAAAAAAATGGCGGTTTCCCTAGTTTCAATTGACTACTCCAAAGCATTCGACAAAATTAACCATGTGCTTTTACTTTCTAAGTTAAAGTACATTGGATTTGACAATATAGCTATCCAATTCTTCAAAAACTACCTCTCACACCGTATGCAGTGCGTTTCTGTAGGCAGCAGGCTATCAGAAGTCAGTATGATACCATCAGGAATCCCTCAGGGCTCCATACTAGGCCCTGTGTTATTTCTCATATACACTTTTGATTTGCACAAATCTGTCGCACATTCCGATTTACTAAGCTTTGCTGATGACACTCAACTCATTCATTATTTTGACGCCTCTTGTTCGCAGGATGCTGCTGCCTTATTAGAGCAGGATCTGAGCAAAGTGCAAAAATATTCAAGTGACAATCTAAACATTAATCCAGATAAGACTCAAATATTACTATTTTGTTCCGACGCAAGGAGAAGTGTCGTGGAGAATACATTTAAAGTTAACCTTGATGGTTCGCTGCTGCAGATTGCTAATTCAGCTACAATTTTAGGTGTTGAAGTAGATAGCAAATTGAGATTTAGGGAGCATGTTATGTCCTTAGCTAAAAAAAACGTATTGTCGAATGAGAGCGTTATATGCCAATCGCCACCTTCTGAACTTTAAACTGAGGAAAAAACTTTGTGAGTCTCTTGTGTTGCCAATTCTCAGTTATTGTGATATTTTATATTACCCATGTCTTGATGAACGGATGAAAAGCAGGCTTCAAATAATTCAAAACAATTGCATTCGCTTTATTCATGGATTGAGGAGATTTGACCATGTTAGTGACAAATACAGCCAAATGAAATGGCTAAGAATTGATAAACATGTGCGGTGCAAATACTTAGTGTTTTTGCACAAGTTGATAGCTGCGTCAAGACCTGCATACCTGAGAGAAAAGATCATATTTAATCAAGAAATTCATGACAGGATTACCAGGGACCGTATTATGATCAGGATACCTCCATACTCTATGACACTCTTCAAGCGTTGTTTCTCGTATAATGCTGCCGTATTTTACAATGCTTTGCCCAGAAAGTACAGGGAAATGTCTTTTGCTCGTTTTCGAAGGCATATCAAGCAATTTATGCTCACTCTTCCCTGATATTTATATAACTGATTTTCCGCCGTTTAGGCATACGTGTACATAGTGTATATAGTTGTAGTGTTCTTTAGTTTATTTGATTAGTTATTTAACCTTTCTGTAATCCTTAGTTTTTCTTATATATTTTTTTTTTCTCTTTTTTTGGAATTGCACACAACATCGTGCTTAAAGTACAGACAAAGGTAGTTAAGTGTAAGAGTAGCTCAAGCTAAACTTCGCTATCTTTGTCCCTCACATGTACAAAATATGAATAAAGGCGTTATTATTATTATTATTATTATTATTAAATGAATGCTAAATTTCACTGGCTTGTGTTTTAACATTGCCTATTACCTGTTCAACTATAATTACCTGACAGAAGTCCAGATAACACCGTCGCGAGCAATGGCGTTTTAGTCCTCGGTGAGACTTTGGCCAAAAACTTGAAAATAAGACCATCCGATGACATCGCATAAACAACTCTAGGTAGGGGAAACATGGCCCCTAGGAGACTCGTGAGAAGGGCAAAGATAGCGCCAACGGTCACAATCCACTTAATGGTGTGCCAGCCTATTTGTTCAAAAACGTATGGAAGGGGCGCATCTGGATCCTAGAAATAAACAAAGAACAATAATAATTAATTTTTAGATCCTCGCAAATTCCAAAACTTTCAAGGCAAGCTTTTTTTCTGAAAATTAGTAAATTATTGAAAATTCTGGAAATTTTGAAAAATTTCGATGTTTTGAAAATCCTGAAAAACCTGAAAAGTGTGAGAAGTCCGAAAATGTTGAGTATTCAAACATTATTAGAATCCTAAGGTCATAAGAAATGTTGGACAAAATCAAAAAAATAAGAATTTGAGAAAATTGAAAATTTTGTCAGTATTTATCTATGATTGAACCCCATGTTTTTTTGACCAAATGAAACCATATACCTATATAAAAATTACTACTGAAGAAAGTATAGATAAAAATGATAATGAGCCGTATTCATCAAAAAAAAGCATATCCTCGGAAGCATAAGGTAAAAGTTATGGTCTTGCTTCGGAGAAGAAGGTAGAAGTATAAGCATATCCTTGTTTTCGTATTCATAATGATTAGCTCATACTCAAGAGAATATAATCCAAGAAGAAGTAAAAGGTTGATTGTTATTTGTATCTTGAGCGACATGTCCTGACTTGCTCCAGCTTGTAGTTGACGAGGGAGTTCGTTCATTCAGCATCACTGACAGTTGTACAGAGCTTACACAGACCGTTCCGTATTTTTACTGGATACATTTTTTTATCAAATTAATAAGCATGTCATCCTCAAGTGATGAGGAAACTATAAAAAATAATGGCAACGACATGCAGTTCATCGCAGATAAAATTGCCATTGCTCAAATTATTTTGCAAAAGTCACAAGTTCCAAAAATAAAAAAGAGAAAGGACGATGCCTTGACGAAGATGTTGAAAAAATATGAATCAACATTCGGTAAACCATTATATACTAAAGACTTATTAAAAAAAATCAACAACATGAAATGAAGATTGAAGAAAAAACAGATCTAAAAAAACTGGTAATAAAGCAATTAAATTGTTAGATTGGGAAAGAAAGTTGCTGAAAGCTATGGAAGGTGACTGTAATCCTACAATTTGGAAAATTAGAGGTGCCATTCAGGTTGGTAGTGTTCAAGAAGAAGGAAGTGAACTATACAGGGTGACTTCGAAGTTGAGTCATTTATTTTAACAGTGAGTAGATCTGATCAAAAGAAATGTTTTTTTTCCTTTACCATTTTTCTGGTAAAATTAAAGTAACAAAGTTATAGCCCTTTGGAAGTTTGAGTACCGCCCTGTCTCAATAATAATATTATGTGCTCGTGTTTGGCGACAACGGATATAATTCGCCTTATCGGTTCATCGCATCGGAAACAAAAAAGCGAAAGAATTTGAAACGATGTTTTTACAATTATTTCATTCAGTATTTCAGTTGTATACAGTCAGTGTCTGTCGGTAGTGGATAGTGGTGTCTGTTGCGTGGCTCAAACGAAATAACAAATGGCACATGTTTATGCGGATCGGTTTCCCAATCGAGTGCAACCAACCCCTCGTGCCTTTGTTAATGTAGTACAACGGGCTCGTGAATCAGGTGACTTAAGACCTCACAGGGAAGGGCATGCCGGATGCCGGTGCTCCAAGACCGCACGATCAAATACAGGTCCGCACTGAAATACTTGTCGGGAGGATACTTTATAAAACAAGGTAACATTTTTTTTTAATTTTTTTTTATTTTACACATATTTTGGTTTATCTTCCTTCTACAATCATTATCTGAAAATTAATGACTCAACTTCAAAGTCACCCTGTATACCGAGCGCAGTGAGCAAACAGTTAGTATTACAGCGCCAGCAATTCAGAAGACATTGCCACCAAAAAGAAAATTAGCAACAGAGAAATACGAAACTGAGGAAATCAAAGGGCTAACTACAAAAGAACTGCAACGTCTAGCGCTATTACAGCAGTACCAAACAAGTATTTTACAACAAGAGTATATCTGTAACTTATGATGTTCACGAAAATAAAACCTATTATAACTTATTAATACACTTTAATCAGTAAAACTATTTATTATAATACTAAAGTCTTCTTATTCTCCTGGGTCTTGTTCAACTAACTCAAAGTCAGGATCGCCCAAGCTCTCACAACATTATGGAGTACAATACAAGCAATAATTATTTTCGGCACATTTTCCAACTTTACGCGGCAAACATACTGTAGGATAGGAAACCGGCGTTTCAGTTGGCCGAAACAGCGTTCCATTACACCTATAACTCTTTCTTGTTTTAAAAGCTTATTATAGATTATTTCTGTACCTGTAGTAGGATTTCTGAAGGGAGTCATAAGGCATGGCTCAATACCATAACCGTCATCGCCAAGTAGTACAACATTTGCTTTATTCATTAGTTGTGATCTTCTCCATTTCTGGAATCATGCACTGATCCAGGCCAACTCACATCAACACTTGTGAACATCTCTCTGGCATCACAAGTGGCTTGCACATTTAAAGTAGGTTCCCCTTTTCGGTTGATATACTCATCTCCATGGCGATTTGGTTTCAGGATTTCTATATGTGTACAATCAATTACACCAATTGCTGTCGGAAATTTATTCATGCTTTGTCATATCCCCTTGGCCTCCATCAGTTCATGGTTGGTAGTTGGAAACTTGATCCATTCGTTCGACTGTGCAACTATGCTGTTCACAACTCTATCCATAGTCCGAGATACCGTTGCTTGACTAACACCAAGTTCCTGACCAATACCTTGTTAATATCCAGGGTCACCGAGATAGCGTAGGCATATCTTCATTTTATGAATACACGAAAGTGCTCCTCCTCGAGTTTCCTCATTCTCAACTAAAAATCTGCCCGCAAGACATTTGCTTCGTCGAACCGATATAATTTTTTGAAGTCACGACCAAGTGAGGGTAAAGAGGTTTCTACGTTTTAACATCCCTAACATCCACGACTTCCGCCATCATCGTTTGACCACTTTCGTTACGAAGTTGAGTCTGCTACTGACCACACTCAGAATTTTTGAAGGATATGCTTCCTATGCCAAGTATAAGGTGAAGATTATGAATATCCTTTCATTTATGTCACTGCTTGGAAGAATATGCTTTAAATTAAAAAGCAAAAGCATTTACTTGAAATTATTATAAATACCATCTGGAGGATTTCCTTCAAAATTTGCAAGTACAAGGATATCCTTTGTTTTATGAATACGGCTCAATGACAATGTAATATATTATACCAGGCATTGATTGATATATTCTACTTGAAGATTTCCAATTTAATCCTAAATTCTCGCGTCCAAAAAATTATCAGAGATGAGATGAGATACCCTAGCACCATCTATGAGAGTTTGCCACAGTTATGTTTCTTTTCTTAACACTAATTAGAGATTTACTTCGAAACTCTTCGCATTTCGTAGATGGCGCTGTAGCCAAATATATGCTAGTATACAGTCCCCCTATAAATTGACCCCCTCCCAGCTTTTTAGCGTGACCTTTTAGAAAACAGAGTTATATACAAAGGTTGAGGGCACAACTTATGTATAAAGCATTTTTTCTAAACCGTACCATACGAAATAGTTACAGGGGGCAATTAATAGCGGGACACGCTGTACAATTTTCTTTGACAAACTCCACCAACTCAGCGTATTTTCTGGATAGAACGAATTTTAGCACTTTAGATGAGAGTGACGATTCATGTAAAGAACGCTATGTATCTTATCAAATTATTAGTTTATCAATTATTATTATCTTTTCAGTCATATAAATGCACCCTCTCATCATATTAAATCAACTTTATGTTTCCTATAATATCCAGATAACTTCCAAAAAGTGAGTTCAACATTATAACTAACGATCCGATCAATGCAGTAAAAATATATTTTCTATATTTATTTTTCTGAGTGTATCCAAAACAACATTGTGAGATACTCCCTCTTTTAGTTTCTGATTCTCGGAAAAACGTCTGGCCCAGCGTCTGGCGCTTGCCCTGATTGGTTATTCCTACATTCCGTACCTTCAATTGTTTTGCCTACAATTGCGACTTTGTAACTGGCAGGACGCAACCAGTTTGCTTTTAAATTAATTATCTGGAAATCGTGTTATGTTGGAGTATTTTTAATTATTCCAGGGGGCAATTAATAGCGGGACACGCTGTACAATTTTCTTTGACAAACTCCACCAACTCAGCGTATTTTCTGGATAGAACGAATTTTAGCACTTTAGATGAGAGTGACGATTCATGTAAAGAACGCTATGTATCTTATCAAATTATTAGTTTATCAATTATTATTATCTTTTCAGTCATATAAATGCACCCTCTCATCATATTAAATCAACTTTATGTTTCCTATAATATCCAGATAACTTCCAAAAAGTGAGTTCAACATTATAACTAACGATCCGATCAATGCAGTAAAAATATATTTTCTATATTTATTTTTCTGAGTGTATCCAAAACAACATTGTGAGATACTCCCTCTTTTAGTTTCTGATTCTCGGAAAAACGTCTGGCCCAGCGTCTGGCGCTTGCCCTGATTGGTTATTCCTACATTCCGTACCTTCAATTGTTTTGCCTACAATTGCGACTTTGTAACTGGCAGGACGCAATCAGTTTGCTTTTAAAATTAATTATCTGGAAATCGTGTTATGTTGGAGTATTTTTAATTATTCCAGAATACTTGTGTCTGTGTTGTGGGATAACAATTGTAGTGTATGCCTGAAATGTAGTGGTGTTTGAAACTCTACGCGGATAAAGCTGTGGATCTATCAATCGCGTAAGAATCGTTTATTAGCATTATGCTTGTGAAGTGATTGTGGATATTTGTGTTAGCTTTCCAAATGGAGTTCGAAGTAGTTGGGAATTGTGGATCGGTCCTTGACTTGCTGCAGATGTAACGATAAGTAAGAAGTAAGTAAGTTTACCTTTCCTAAGTTTTTTTACTACCAGCAATATTACATTACGTACCTATGTTCAGCAGTGGGGCATTATTGACCGAGAACTATAACGTGAGGCACTTAGCACTGAATGATATAATGTGCGAGACCTTCTCAAACAAGGT